TCTATTTCTCTCTCCATTTTCAGGAAAGCAAATTCAACATTACAGAGAAAAGTAAGTATGACAGAACAAACAAGTGAATTCTGCACTCTGATACTTGCTTTTCTATCATTTTCTTCTTTAGCATTAAGTCAGCAACTATTTTTCTTCTGAAAAATAATATTAATTCTACATTAACACAGAAGGATAGGAAAAGGAGAAAATATGTAAATAGCACTAATTTATGAGTAAATGCAAGAGTAATGTAATTAACAGTGCTATGGCAAAACTAAAAACTTTTTATTAAAGACTGTAGATAATAAGATGCCCATTATTCTTCCAGCAAATTAATAATCTATGTCTCACAATATCAGCAAATGAACTGTTTTGGTTAAATTAATATTCATGTTAACTGCATGCAAACTCAAGTAATTAAGTAGTCCTAAGTTACAATATTAAGGACATACGCAAACAGGGTCTGTGATCATTTTAAAGACTAGCCAAGTAAATCATATGGCATTTGTTGTATGAACTTGGCTGGGTATTCAAATCAACTGATCATGTTCAGTCAGAAAATAATTCCAATAAAAAGCTTAAGTAATCCAGCTACATTCTAAATATAAACCAAAACAGCAGTTTAGTAGGGCTGATGAGTTTAAATTTACAAAAAGAATAAAATAAGTTTGCAATAAACAGAATCTCTTCTTCCCTTGTCTCCAAAATTATAATTTCAGCATAACTTAGAATTCAATAATCATTTTTTTTAAAATAAGTTTCTTCTTCCCGAATTAATAAATCTTCACAAAAATGTTAAGATTGTTTTTGCTTCTTTGCTTATGCAACACCATCAAATTTAGATGAAAAAATACTTAATGGTGATAAAAAAAAAAACAGATCTAAAGACCACAACATAATTCTTTGGGCTTTGAAATAACAGAAGTATTTGTTTCTTAATAATCTCATTATTGTAATTTTTTTCCTAGGACATCCATCATGACAGTACTGGGGCATCTTACAAAAGATATTTTCCTGTCTCTTAAATTAAATCATATTTGGGACCGAAATCAATAGGTGCCTAAAAAAAATGCCAGAAAAAAAAAGGAAAGCCAGAAGCTTTTCTCTTAACATCTCCTGGCAGACATGGAAGAAGGGGCAGTACAAGTAGCCTAAGAGCGTAACATGGTACACACGTTCATCCCTTATTCTGAAAATGCAAATGATACAACAAAAATAAGAACGTTGAAGTTGAAAGTCAAACACTGCAAAGGCAGTGCCAGAATTTAGACAGCCACTGGAAGCACAGTTAAGTCACCCGTTATGATCTGGGAATACAGAAGCAAAAACAAGACAAATACTAAGAGTGGATGCTAAGGAAGATACAGAGATAGGTTACACGTGATGAGCCTTCTCACTTGAGCTTAATCCCAAATTCTGTTTCAAAGTTTGGAGGGTGCTAGAACTGAACAGACACATCCCTGCTCTCATCAGCTGTCTCACAATCATCTGACTGATCCTAGGCCACCTGCCTCCATCCTGACTCTTCCCTAACCCTAACTGCTTAACCCAAATACTTTTAAACTCATCAGTCACAGGCTTTACTTCTTTCACATCAGCCATGCCCAGCCCAACCTCCTTTTCCAAGTCTTTCCTTCCATCCAAGTTCTAGTTATCATTTCCCCCATACAGCCTCCACTTATGTATTCCCCTCCACATCCTGTTTAATCTTCCCTTTAAGAAGACCAAATTTTCACTACTTTCTCACCCTCATAGCTGTAAGATGCTTTCATTGTGGAGGGCATCAAAATAGTGGGAGCATCTGTTACTGGATTTTCCAGTTTGGACCCACTGCATGGCGTTTCATAAGAACAGCAAAACATGTCATCACAGCACACACACCTCACACTGCTAAGCATCACATCTCCAAAGAATAGCAGCACTAGAACTTTCTAGGAAAAAAGGCTAACAGAGTTTATAAGGTTTGATCCTCTTTTGGTTTTGAAACTGATTGAAACATTTTTACATTGAGTTTCTTTTGAAATTAGTCAGTTTCAAGCAGGAACATCCTGTGAAAAACTAAGCCAAAATACCTACTTTTGACCAAATTATAAGATAATATGACAGATCTAATGATACTGATTTAGGGAAAATGAGTAGACCAGACAACTACTTGAAATCCCTAATTTTCCTTCATTCTCTGATAATACGTATTTGGCAACCCTGACAAAAGGCTGGCCTATTTATGGTTTACAGTATGCTCATCAGGGTTGTCCTCCATTAACTGTGCAACCTAGTAAGAACTACTGAAATTTCAAAGTTTCAACTGCAATGGAAGGATAGAATTTACTTCCAAGTTTACACAAAATTTTAGTACTTGTTCCCTACCCCAACAGCACTGACCAGTTCCAAAGCAAATGTAAACTTAGGCTGCAGATCGATACTGCTTTTTCAATACTGCTAAGTTACTCAAGGCTTTGAAGTGAGATCACTGCATGTCACCTACTCCTCTACCCCACAAAAGCTCCTGTCAGAGTTCATTAGCAAGGAATTCAAATGCATGGGTCCACATGCTTCTCAAAAAAACAAAAAAAAAACAAAACAATAATCAACCACAACAAAATGAGGAAAATTTTCATTTAAAGTAGGGATTTCAAGCACACAAAGTATATCTTTGCTGCAAGAGTCTTAAGAAAAAAGAAAACAAACAACAAAACACATGATGCTAGTAAAACAAACAAACAAAAAAAAACAACAAAAACCAATTATGCTATTCAAATTAAACCTTTACCAATTTGAAATTACACTTCACTGAATAACTGCATTTATATTAGAAGCACCAATTTATTGGTGTAAGGTAATTTTAAATACTGGGCTAGATAAAGTAATTTTATAGAGAATAAATTAGCTTTGGGAGAGTTAAAAAAAGGTAAGTAAAATTGATTTTACCAGACTTGAAGGTTTTTTCTTACACTATTATACCCCTGATATCTTATTTGCAAAAGAACTCTGTACATTTCAGAAAAGCTTGAAAAATTTCAAGCTGCTGTACTCGAAAATAGCCAGAATCTGTATTCAACTTTGGCAAGTAATTTCTATCACTTCCTGTCTTTGCAACAAGCTTTAAGATTAAAAAATTAACTGGTCAGAGGTACGCCGAGGATCCTGAATCATTCATGTATGATAGACAATTACTGCAGTGGTTAAAATTATATTGGTTTGAATTACAACGTTGTTTTATATTTCTAGATTTTAGAGTTTCATGAAGTGTAAAATTGCATGCATAAACCTTCTGCTATGTCTACCAGAGTTCTGAAAAAGTATTCATGCTTGTGCAATCTATTTCTTGTAAAGGAAAAAAAAAAAAAAAAGGCAAAACAAAAAAAACACTCACAAAAAAAAAAAAAAAAGCAATCATGCCTACTTCCAAGTAGCCAAATAAACCTCAGATGAATTAGTGAAAGCTTTATGTGCATAAATTAAAAAATATTCATCAGGAACATACATCCCACCCACATTTATGAGCTGGCTGAATACACAAGACATAATATACAACAAAGTACTGACTTCAGTGAAATTAACATAAAAGAGTTGTAGTCACGCCTAATGGCTCCTAAATGCATCAGATTTAGTATTTTCCAGGAACTGTTCCATGTTTAGCTAAGCTTGCTGATGTATATATTATTTAGTACAAACAGACCAAATTCTTTCTAACACTGTAAGTGCCCCCAAGCTACAAGGGATCTTCTGGGTCGTCAAGGGCAATCCATTGATGACAGGAACATCACTGAATTCCTTTCATAAGCTAACCAAGCTCCATCACAAAAAAGCTTTTTTTTTTTTTTTTTAAGCCTTCCAGTGCTAAACTGTGAAATATGATTGCTCAAATTTTCAAGAACCCTCCTCTAACTTCTTGTTTAAGTTTGTGGACTGTTTATCTCCATTTCTTTCTGTTCCAATGCTGGCTGATAGCTTAAAGAGTCCCTTTGTGTCTCAGCATTATCTGTCCCACTATTCACCTTACCACCATCTTGACCTACTTCAATATGGCCAGTCACTATTCACAAGCATACACACACACACTTTAGTCACTTCTCAAAAAATAGGCTCTTCAGGCCCACTGTCATCTTAAGTAGCCCCTCTCCACAACTTTTGTCACTAACTTCACTTTTTACTTGAACAAGGGATAACTCAGGACTGAAAACAGTATTTTGCACTAGGTTTCATCAGTGCTTTTTAAAATAGTGTTAGTATCCTCGCTACTTGAAATACAGCTCCTGACAAATCACATAATATTTGCTTTTGTTGTAGTTGCAGCACTGTCTCTTCCACATCCCACTGCAGTCAACTATTAGCCTCCTGAGGAATTAAACAAGAAAGCATCACTATCAAAGATTTGGAAGAGAAATTAACAAGAGAATTTTGTAAAGGTCTGTCACACCACACTGAAGGAAAATTTTAATTCCTGCAACGTTGACTTAGCATGTGATATTCCAGGATTGGGACTAAGCATATGCAGTTTAACAAAAATGGAAGTCACAGCCTGCAAGAAAAGGGAATCAGCTAATTTATATAAAAAACAAAACAAACAAAAGTTACACCAAAAAAAGTCCAAACTGGCTAAACCTCCTAGTACATATATACAGTTTAAATCCCTTCAGTGTAAGTTGTTTTTCTCTGGATCTGGAGAGTACTGAAATACCATGCAAGTTTTAGACCTCAATTACACCAGCCTAACAGGATTAAGTAAAGAAAAATAAATCTATAACCATTTTTAATGCATAAATTCCTTATTGTTACTTTTAGTTGACAAATATATATTTCATAGCAAAACAACATCACAGGAACAGCTGGATGGCAGTCTTAAGCCCAAATGAACCAGTGTCACATGCTGACAAGTTATCTCTCTGATTGTTTTTGAATGGCAGCACATGCAGATTTATTCCCTACCATAAATTAGAACAATTATTTCTCTGTAGTTCACTTTTTATTTCAGACAGTGAGCCCCTGCACATATTTTTAAAGGATATCTTCCCTTTCCTTGATGATAAGTTCATTCTGTTCCTCTAGCTGTCTGATCTTCTTTTCAAATGACTCCTGTTCAGCTTTCAGCCGTTCTTCTGTCACCTCCTTTTCTTCACTTACCCTGAAAAGAATGACAGAAATAAAACTTATGCCCATAACCACAATGCCTGACTTCCAACTCCTCTGCTTTTCAGGTAAATGGATATCAACCTCTCCACCCTTAAACAGGTTAGTCCATCATAATTTTTATTACATTACACTAGAAGATGCATATGACTTTATGCAATGCATTATTTTTTCAGACACTGGTCTCACTAGAGTACATGCACATTAATGGGCAGCATGGAACAACAAAGTAAGGACCTGAACCCACAATTAGATTTGTGCAGTCAGATTCCCTGCAGCCATAACGAAGATGCACTTGGATCCTTACAAGCCTAGGGCATGTAGACAGACAACTCAAATGGGAGAGCTTAGCTGCTGAGACAGGAAGGAAATTGAAAAACTTTTCTGTTTTTTGATCTATTAACTAATCCTTCTTTCACATTTACTGGTCAAATACAAGTCCAGGAAATGAATCATTTTTCTTGTAGTTTTCTCCAAGCAAAACACTCTGTCCTCTTCTGGGGATTTTAAAATATCAAGCTGCAGGAGTAAATTTTCCTTTCTGTCTGGACCATAGCACCCTGTATCTTGCTACTCACTGTAAATAATTGGATCAAGATTAAGAGATGACAATGTGAGAAAGGTTTACAATGATCATTTATTCTGTACCTCAAAAGCAGGCTGTAAAAACAATTATTCTGGTACCACGTAGGCAAGAAGACCATTATGCACAGATGATCCTGTAACTATACTAAAAAACATGTCTTAGAAATCATGGTTCTATAAAAGCTCTACAAAAATATTAAGTAATGAGCTTGGACTAATAAATATTATTTCGCTGCACTTAGGCAATTTCTGTTGCTGAAGGCTCTTAAAGTTCAGTCGTTTATGATGATGAAACAGCTGCCACAACACAGGTGACAGGAGACCAAAGCAGTACAACTTTCAGAAAACTTCAATTTTATCTTCCTTTAAGTGGAACAATCCTATAGGAAGAGGAAATAAAGGAAAAAATATAAAATATATATATAAAGACACTGGACTAAGCCTTTCAGTTGTCCCATCAGACTCATTGATATTATTAACAGAGAACTCCATTCAGGGACTGAGCCATCTATTTGACATCATGATGTTTGCCTTAAGACGACACATATTTGTTCTGATATTCAAGTGGAAAAAACATAAATACCACAACTGGGTCTCTCCGAGGGGGTGAACTATAGACAGGCAGTATTCCCCAACTCTGAGATCAACCCACAGCCTTTCCCACAACAGCTCGAGCAGACTGCATGAAGTTGGAAATAATTAATACTGAAATTCACACCTTTTCTTTACAAACCTGGGGGGAGAAAAATAACATATAGCATATAATAAAATAATGTAGAGCAGTTTGAAAGCTTGAAACAATTAATTGGAAAGTTTCTAAATTACACAAAAAAAAGTGTCATGGATTTAGCATAAAACCATTCTGCTATTCATATGCTCATGGTCTCATTCACAATCCCGTCCCCAGCAGTGTTCATCGACTCATGCCTAGGACCCTTTGCCTCCATTCAAAGGCTGTCAAAAGGGGTGTGCACATATCTAAAAATGAACTATGAAAAGAGAACCAGCTGTATTAACTCTGGGTCCATCCCAACACTTATGTACTCCTTAGTTAAGCAGTTCTTAGTTAAACTTCTGAAAACCATCTGCTATACATCCTTGATCCCCATTGCAGTTACAACTATGGTACATAGGACACAGGCTGCAGACACAGGCTGTTTGTTTTCTCTGAATGTAGATCCATCAGATAAGTGACTAGAGAGCATATGACCTTCCTTTCACATAATCAGTGAAAGAGGAAAGAAGTCTTCCTGTTTCTTAGGGTAGAAAAAAAAAAGAGATAACAGTGAATAAAAATAATCAATCAGAAAAAGACAAAGACAGCAGTGACCACGTAGATGAAAGACAGGCATGAAACAAGAATATGGGAAGAAAAAAAAAAAGATCAGAAGGGAAAGAGAGGACAAGTACCATCTCTGGGGCACTACAATAAGGAAGGAATCTTGCTCACTAACTGGAGGAAAGATTCTGCACTAGAAAAAGGTTCAGGACAGCTGAAACTAGTGGGCCATGCTGGCACCTAAGAATATTAAAATCAAACAACAGTATATGAAAATAAGGAAAGGTAAGAAAGAACAGAGCACCAGAGAAATTAGACTAAACCTAGCAGGTTTTACCCATCTCTAGATTCTGTGACTTGCTGCTTGTATCAGTCTGCATCACATTCACATGCTGTGTTTGTATTTAACACAGATCACAGCAAACTGTCATACTCCCAGACATATGAATATATTATGCCACATATCTTGTGCAGTAAATGACTGAGAACAGTAAGTGATCTTAAAAGAAACGTGGCAGTATGTGTTTATGTATCACAAAGCCGGAGACAGTCCATAAATGGCAGGCGAGAGATAGAATACTGTTACTCACAGGAGGTGGCAAAGGAAGTTAGAGAAAAGGAATACAAGAATGTCATCAGATTATGCTGGATTTATGTCACATTCTATATATAGCTCAGTGAGATTTTTTTAATATACTTATTTATTTGCATTCTGTCAGTAAAGAACAGATGATTTTTAGCAGAACTAGAAAGGATTTCACTGATGCCAAACAGAAACATTAAGAAGGCTCATAATGCTCCTCAAAAGAATTTTTACCCACTTTTCATCCGCTTGTGGTCAGAAAATAGCAGTGAAAGGATGAAGGCAACTATAAAGGGCACAGCTGTTCCATTAGGCAACATGCTGGTGTCCAGCTCCATTATCATTCTTTCCGGGAATAAATATAAGTGTCTGGCAGCTGAGAGCAAAGATGACAGAGCAGTAGAACTATTCCTGCTCTTCAGTGTCTGCAACATTTTCTTCTATGAAATTCACAATCACCTATCTTGTGTCTTATACACAAGCTTTGTTCAAGATTTGTTTTAAATTCAACACTTCAAAGCTTACGTAATTCTAGCTGCATCTAAATAAAGATTTTAATTTTATTTTATAGCACTCTCTGTAGGAAAATAAAAATTCGTAATGCAGATATATTGACAAAAAACCCTCCTAGGACATTGGCCTTTGTGTTCAAATTAATTCCTAATTCACCAGTTCCAATTGTTATGCTGCACTCCCAAGTCCACTGCTGATACTAGTAGTTCTGAATGTCTGGTCTGAGGAAGGAATTGATCAACAAGTTTGCTGATGACACTGACTCATTCCACAGAGTAAACAGGATTTATGGTCTCCAGGTGGAATTTTTGAAGCACTGCACAGGTCAACAGCACTTAGAGTTTTATTTGTTTAATGAAAAACTAGCATGTACAAGAAAGAGCCATGATAATACTCACATCAACACGATGCTAGGGACAAAATTCAAAAGAACTCTTCCTGACTGAAGGCACTTACAAATCTTTACAACAGAAAAGATTTGCTGAAAAAGCACATTAAAAGTAGTGTTTTCTATTTTTTAAAAATGTTAGAAAAAAATTGAGCAAGTTAAGACAGAAAACAAAATAAACAAAAAGCAGAGATGTAGACACTGGAAACTTCACTGATCAGTCCTATACTCTCTGAGAACATTTATCTTTTAGGAAAGACTCAATTGATATTAATCTGCCAACTAGCTAGAAAGATTAAAATATTTTGGTGACAGTTCTCAAAAACTGTACGTTTTAAATTACAAGCAAAGAATGGCACCTGGAAAAGGCAAGACCACAGGGGGACAAAAAAACAGAGTAAGGACCAAGGGCATAATGCAGAGCCCTGCACACACAGAAATTATGGAATGAAATCAGATATTTTAATTGAAAGATGTGCTCCAAAAAGATGAAACAAGAAGTTTTCATGCCAGAGTTGGTCACAACATGCCTCTGGCAGAACTGAGCAACAAAGTGACTTTTAATACCAGCTCTACAGGAAGAGAAAATGGCAGCATTTTTTGTCTAAGGATAGTATTCACAGATCTTATACATTTTACTCAAGCATTAGGGGCAGTATATATAAATTTTTAAAAAATAACAAAAAACCCCAACGATCTCAAAATGTAATTGAAATTGCTGCACAATGGATAAATTTTATTATATGCAACTTGCAAAATACAAAACTTGATCTCACAGCATGAATTTATAGCTACAAATGACTTTTTAAGCACAAAGGTAAGTGTGATTGGTGATACAATAATCCTAATCATGCTTTACCTATCAACAAGAAGTAATTTCCAGACAAGCTTAGGGATATCTCATTTATAGTCTCACTGCCTGACCAATTAAGAGAACTGAAGTACAATATTGCTCCTAAAGTAGCACACACACAAAAAAAAAAAAAAAAAAAAAAAAAGAGAGAGAGAAGAAAAGATCTTGACATTGAAGTTAAATCCAGGTGACAATTTGGTTAAATATGAGGTAGCATAACCCCAAAGAGAAGGCAACCCAAGAAGCCAAACACTGCAGATTTGTAATATGGGCTTCCACAGGCAAGTAGTCCTTCAAAGATCCTGAACAGAAGATACAGTCAACAATAGTTTTACTGTCCTCCTTTATAACGGTTTCCAGTACTGTAACCAAATTAACCTTCTATTTTGATTCTCATTTTCACCTTTTGTAGGAAAATCTTCAATTTTAGTTTTCAATTTCATCTTCATATGAGGATAAAAAGTCTACAAAAAACAGTGTCAATAGAAAAGAGTAGCATTCCAGACTGCTGGCACCCTACAAAGGGCTTAGGAATCCAAGGTCTTGGGAAGCATGAAGCATTTTCTCAATAAGGGACAAAGGGTTGTCTGAAGGCTGTTTTACTAGCTGCCAGGTACAAGTCATTCTGGGCACGCCAGTGGTCTTTGCCAGAAAGACACTGATCTGATAGCAAAACCATCTTGCACCTCATTTGAAAAAGGTAATCACTCCCTCGAGTGGACAAGGGCATTATGATACTTTTCTACCTAAACTGCTTTTGAAGATTTGTTTGCAAAGACAACAGGGAGCCAGCTTTCCCCATGTTTCACTTACCTGAAGAAAGAATATAGAGTAGCTAGATACCAATTCTCATTACTAAAAACAAAAAATAAACTTTTGTGAACCATTCTAGATCACTTAGTCAATGCCTCTGTTCATTCAAAAGCAAACTGCATGCGAGCTGTACAGGCATATGAGAACCGTTCAGGCAGGGAAGAAGTATTTATGACATATATGTCACAGTAGGAGCCAATAAATCACAGAACTATGGCTATGTATCAGTAAGGAGTGAAGTGAATTCTTGTAAGCACACACACGCTCTCTCTCTCTGCAAAGAAAGTTATGACCCTCTCCATTCAGCCAAATACCAAGACAGAGAGCTCTCATATTACTTAAAATATTTTACTCCAGAATACTTTGTAACCACTCTCAGTATGGTGTCTAGCAAGTATTTAATGCTCAACAGCCCACCGGCTAGGTCACTGAGGACCTTGCACTGTTTGGTCTTGGAAGAGGCTAATGTGTCCTGACATTGGCGCAGAGTACAAGGGTAGGAATCTTTCAGTGCCTTCACCATGTCACTGCTCATTTCATTACATAAGCTGATGACTGCTTCAGGAATAGCCTGCAGTAATAAAGGCTCAGAAAAAGTCTTTTTTGCCTCTTAGAAGGACTCTGCTTCTAAGGAGGCTAAAATTTGCTCTAACTCTGCCTGCCACTTTCACCACCATGTCAGCAGCACCTTGCTGAAAACATGATGGTGCCATGCTGGTTGTTTTTGAAATAATGGCCGATCACACTCAAGAATTTCCCATTTACTCACAAAGCACTTTGGCATTCATGGGCATGACTCATTCTACTCAGAAATTCCCCTACAAAAATAATTTGGAAAGAATCTGCTGACACAATTTTTAAGCATTCAGGTTTACAACATTCGAGTGTTTTTAAACTTCAGGTCCAGTTTGCCTCTCTCTTTTCAGCTTAAGAGGGATGATAGACTGGATATGTTAAAAGAACAGCAAAATAATGGTTAGATATACAGGTGGCGGCACAAAGCAAAAAATAAAATTATTTAGCCTAGAAAAGAAGATTTGAAAGGATACAGCTGAGTCCTTTCTTTCAGCCCAATCTAAAAACTCAATTTCATAATGTCCCTAACAGCTAACATGATGTTAGCCACTGGAATCCCCAGTAACGGAGTGTTATAGCCCAGTAACCGATTTTTTCCAAAGGAAAGGATAATAATATAGCCAGCATTAGAATTTACTCGCACCAAGACAAAGCCTGTCACTGCAGCATATTAGCTAATGCATAGGCACACACCTTCCCAATGTTCAAAAGTGCACTGAGAATTGGAGGAAGAGAACTAAAAATTGTAAGAGAAAGAGAAGTACGTTCACTCTCCTTCAGCAGTTGCAGAAGTCAGGGGAAAGATCAATATCCTGAAATGCCCAAGCAAAACCTGGTTGAAATTCAAGCCCCAGGAGTTAAACATATTTTGCTACTGGTTTCCACACAGACAGAATTTTACCACTTTACAACTGCCTCCATGTAGACAGTTATTAACCAATCTATTTCTGTCCACCATCCCACAATAAGTGTGCAGGAATTAGTCCCAACTATCATCATTTTAATTCATAAATAGTAGCAAAATAACGAACAGTGAGGTATAGCTCTGGTCAACTGAGATCTTTATTATTCCAAGTATTTACTGCAGGACAGTCTTCCTGGAAAACTTTCAGCATTCTGCTGGTTCTTCTCTGAAATAGCAAAGAATGTTCTACTGCATGTAAAAACCCTCCATCATTGCACAACTAGGGATGAAAATTATGGAGAGTTTTAAAAAAGTGACGAGGTGAGCGGAATTAAAGTTCAACTTCCCTATTACTCTGGAAAGGACTTTTAATTACATCCAATAAAAATATGATTAGGTTTAAAAATAAAAGAGAACTAAGTATAAAATAATAGTGTTCCACTAATTTTACTTTTCAAAATTAATGTTGCTGCACCTTCTATTTTTCTTCAAAGAAATGTCAGGCAGAAATATCAAACTGTCCTCAGGGAAAAATCATAGCATCTGAGATTTAAGAAGAATCCCATGCTCAAATGAGTTAGTGTACTACTGTTCACTGGAGAGCAGTGTATTATGAGGAACAATGTAATAAAAGGCTTTTTTTAATATTAGACTATACCTCTATATAATCAACAATAGCAACAGTGTCCGAACAGCTCCAACATCTGACAATTTGTAACCAGATTTCCCAGCAATCTACTTTTTATGACAGCCTTAACTAGACATTTTCTAACACAAGGTAGAATAAAATAAAGTTGCAAGCATGAAGAACTTCAAAAATTACTAAAATACTATATAGCAAAAAATCCTATATTGGTACAAATTATTAGCAGGCAAAATGGTCCACTGGATAAGGATAATCAAAGAGAAAATACTCCTAGCTGCACCTGAGACTTATTGCATGACCTTGAACAAGTAATTTAATTTGTCTGCCCAAATCTTCCTATATAAAAAGAAAAAGGACAGTAATGCTTGCCAATTATTGAACAGACATAAGAAATCTATAGCAAAAAGCATTTCATTAATATCTGAGAACCTGCACTCTGTTCTAGAAAAACTTTGCATTTATAAATTATTAGTATGGAACCACGATCATCTCACAAGACTTTTCCTCCTGATGTTGTGCAAATGTCTACCAAAGTCCCATGTGCTCCTTCTCAATTTTATAGACATTATGTAGGAAGCAGATTTCTAGAGATTCTGAAGTGTTAGGGACACAAAACTGCAGAAAATCTCCTCACTCAAATTCAGCCTATTTTTCACACCATTTATCTTTGTGAATGCAAATAGCACTGGAATGAAACTCAGAAAAAACCTTTTGCTAAAGCTGAGAAACTTGTACTATTTCTGCCTCTCCTTTCAAAGAATACAGAGAACTTGAAAAAATTAGTCAAAGCAAATGAAAGTTTGGCTACATAAGTTAAAATTACACTGGACTCTGTTGCTGTATATGTGCAAACATGAGCAAACACTGATTAACATGTTTCAGCCAGAAGATCACCAATCCACCTTTAACTTGGCATTCCATATAAAAGCTTACCCCTGATAAATAATCACTACAAAGTTTCATTTCAACACAGTTTGTCATTTCCAAAAGACAATATTTGTTTATTTAAAGTACATGATACAAGAAGAAAACAAAACCCTAAACCCTGTGACTAAGTTTATGTGGATGAACTACTGCAGGTCGCAAAACTTTGGCTCTTGTTTTCAATGTCTTTAGGGGATTTTGGGTCAGGAAAGCAGGCAAAACCGATCAGGCTGCTTTGTTGTTCATACCTCTTCCAGAAAGAAAAAATACTTTATGCAAATATTCAGTTCTACAATGCAGTTGTACATCACCTGACATTAATTAAAGGAATGACTCTCCTTAAACATAATGCATTTTCAAGTGATGCTTATTCTTACCTGGCAAGTTCTTTAATTAAGTTTGCAATGCGTCTCTTGTCCTCAGGACACAAATCCTTTAAAGAAGCACTCTTCATTCCTCCTTCATTAGTGACCTGAAAATTTAAAGTAACATTTAGAAAGTACTCTTTAAAGTGGAACAAATATTTCATAAGATATTAAAAGCATTTCAAAAACTAATAATTAGAAGATGAAGAGTAGACAAATTCCAACTGGAAATAAAATACACATTTTTTTTTTTTAAATGTAAGTACAGTTCAGTGAAAGAAATTACCAAATTGTGGAGAATTGTTTTAAGGAACTTGTAATTCAAATGCAAGCTGCTAGCTTCAATGCTAAATATGTTGAATAGCTTTAAGACATACACTATTCATTGATTCATACTAGATAAAGGGTAGTAGGTTCTCATGACTTAGAAATAGCATGGAATTACTTGGAAATTAGCACAGCAACATCCATATTCAAGTTCAAACTTTACTATATTAGGATCCTAAAATAAAGAGTAAGGAAAAAAAAAACATTCTACCTTAGCACTTATGACCAGAGCATACAAAACAATAAAAAAGGTATGCAATGTTGTTAGTAGATGGTAAGTCCTTATTTCAAACGATTTAATACACAGAAAAGTACACATCCTCTCACATGTCACTTCGTCTGTTTTTAACCACCTATTTGCTACCTTCGTACTTACTACTCCTCAAAACAAACCTTTGACATACTCCTGTACTTCAGTTCCTTTAACGCATCCCTTTATCACACTGTGAACTGCAGCATTTTTGACCAATGCCCACCAGAGGGCATATTGCTGCTCGTGCTGCCCACGGCCCGTTGGGCTATTAAGGTTACTGGCATTAACTGTTCCGTGTGTTTCCAAGGAGGAAACAGTTCTAAGGTCTAAATTGTTTCTATTTATCAAAAATTTCTGTCATCAGTGACTCTCCACTGCTAGTGCTAAACACAAAATAAGGATCCCAAGATGAAAGCAGCAACAAGAGCTATGCTAGTCTGTCCAAGATTTCGGCAAGTTGCGCTTACCATGAGACACAAGAATGCTACGAAATGTCTTCCAGTTTGGCCAAGTTAACATCACACAAAGTAAGGACTGGGCTTCTCTCCCCTCATGAGCAGTAATGGCAGCTGATCTGCACACATCAAAGAGGAAGTGTCCCCTTCCATGCTTAGTTAATTGCTTCTTGAACAGTGGTTGGAAACAATTAAAGGACTATGTTGCTTTTGAAAGAGGTGATAATTTTATACAGACTTATGTTATACCCACCTGACCCTTCAGTGTACTCTTATTTTAATGCTGGGGTGTGGGGCAGGGAGGAGGGGGGAGGGGAAGGAGGCAAATTAGACTTCAGGGTTTTTCAAGTGGACTTTTGATTTCACAGTTCCCTTCCCAGACATGTCCTATTTGCAGTCACACAAATGAAGAGATATTGTCTTTAACTTAACTTAATTTAACTTCAGCTAAACATATGGTTGAAGGATCTCCATTTCCCATGCTTAAAATGTCTGAAAATATGTGTTTTTCAGCAGTTAGATGATGGAACTTCTTTAAGAAAAATAAAAAGTTACAGGACATTTTTAATTCAAAAGAGGAAGAAGCTTGATCACATTAGTGACAGTGATTTTAACAGAAGGTACTGCAAGCTATTACCCAAACCTACACATATACTGTCAGACAAACCTTTGTGGGATAAAAAGGAAAATCTGAAAAATTACTCTGTGCTTTTTTGTATCACCTACAGGTATGGATAGATGGCACACAAAAAATTCTCCAAGGCAGGCTTGTACAAATGCACAGGTCAAACTGAAGCTGTGGAATTATGCACAGCAACAGCTCCATCATCAAAACAAGATGGCAAATGAAACAGAGAACATGACTGTATCATCTCCATTTTTCTGATTTCTGTCCTTCCTACACAGCTCAGGGTAGAACAGTTTCATCACTCGGCATTTTCTCAATGAAATGTACTATATAAATGGAATATTCTCTCACTTTATAACACACACTTTGCAAGATTACAATTTGCATGAGAAAAGCAGACAACTTCTATCAAACGGGAAGCAGGAAGATGGGAAATTTTGGACAAGACCAGTATACCAAACCGCTGAATTATTAAGAGTACCAGAAAAGTTCCAGAGCTAACAAGACCTTTTTGAAGTCTGCTCCAAAACTCTCATCCTCCTTGGTGGTACTCAGATCTATCTTAACAAAGAAAAGGTAAATCAGTTCTGCCAAGACTCACATTAGACTCAATCCATTCTCTACAGAAAGGATTCTGGTAAATCCTAACAGTGAGCTACCTACCAGTACAACAGTGTAACTTGTACAACAGCACAAGTATATTAAAGTGATCAGCTCTCCCTAGACACACACACAACACCGTGGAAGAAACTGAGTTGTGTTGGTGATGAAAACTCCTTGCAAATAAACTTTGTGAAACTTTCTTCTTCTATAACAAGTAAAATGTATTTGTTCTGTTTGTTTCAAATGATTCAGAGCTTATCTTCAAAGTTAGAATACAAAGTTTCCAAGAGAATTTGACAAGGTAAGAGGAAAACAGAAGGTTAAAAAAGAAAGAGAAGAGGAAAAGCTTTGAACACATTTTATTGTCAATATTATAAAAGCACATTGGAATCTCCAATCAAGATTTCACATATCAGGCATTATATAAAAAAAAAAGACCATTTCTACCCCATCAGCTTTCACAGGTCAAAAAGGAGTAAAAGTTCTCTAAACAACAAGTAATGCACACAATATTTTCTTATTTTTTTAAATTAAAATTATATTTCAGTTTTAAGTTTTTAATGTGTTATATGAAGGCATCTATGAGGCAGTGGGCTTGTAGATACTAATGAAGAGATGCTTCTACATAAAGATTCTGCATAATAGGGGCTATTTGTGAAATTTCTCTGCATGTCACTTAACAGCATCATTTGCAAAATGGAGGTACATACCAACCTCCTAAAAGCAAGTACTGATAAACAGAGAAATGGAAAGAGACGAGTCCAAGAGAGACCCTAAAAATGGATAATAGTTATTAGTGTTATGCTGAAGGATTTCATGGGCAATGGCACTGTCAAAGCAATGAGACTTAAGTGATCTGTCTTTACATCAGAGTTTTGAACATACATGAGGCACACAGCATTTGCTCAGCACACAGAAGACACAGAAAATGATGTCTTATCCCAGGTGAAGAACAAGATTTAACTGCATGATAATACAACAGTGATTTAGTCAAAAGTTTTAGATCCTGCCTGTAAGTGGGAGGATACCAAACCGTAGTGACTTACAGGCTTGCCCAAAATGACTACTGGGCAAGAGACTTAAGTACTTAACAGTACTCAAATTACTGACATAGCCAGTGTACTATACAAATTATGTTAGAAAAATGGCCTCTCAATCACCTTCTGAAAATCACAATACAGCATAACATTCCAAAAGAAACCCCAATGCTTTGGAATGTCTAATGCAATAAACTGTAGGAAAAGTCACAGGAGTACACCAGATAATTAAAAGCAGAGCCAAAGATAATGTCAACTGACAAAGCTACTTCTCAGGTGCATTTTAAACTTTTACTATTAAAACCAGAAAGTGGTTTTACCCTACTAAGCTGAGCAGCCACAGGAAAAAGGTCTCTGAAAAATTTTTACAAATCTTGTTTCTAAGTGATATGGCTAGAGCAATGGAATTGAATAGACTGAAGCAAAACTTTTTGCACATTTGCGTAGTAACATAAGGATTAGAGGCTACTCAGAGCTACACTTACTCTCCTTCTATACACATGTACACAGAGAAATATATATAATCTGTTTTACATAGTTGCATAACACTTACATAAATCAGCACATTCTCCTTAGGTGGGAAAACAATCTCAGTAGAAAATCAATTTTTGCCAACAAGCTACCACGTAAATCGGCAAAAGTGTAAGAGATTGAAAAAATAATAGTACTCTAAAACTGTTTAAAAGTTTTCAATCTAATGATTTTCTGACATTTTTCTATGTGTACTTTTAAGTCCATGAAAAAATTGCCTTTACTGACCTGCTGTCCTGTTAGATCTCCTGTGCTTCTAACAGGATCCATGGAAACAGAAGCCACAGCTACAGGCACCTTTAGCTCTGTTTTACTTTTTTGATATTTTGGCAAATACCTTGTTCTTAATTTTCCTCTCATGGACACTCCTGTAGATTAAAGACAAGCAAAACACACAAATTATAAAGTCACCAGAATATAAAGTCAAAAGGGACCCTTCCCTTGCCTCCTACAGCAGGACTTCCACAAAGATATCCATGCCTCAGCAGCTCTTTTTGAAAAGAATGAGCATTTCAGGTATATGTTTGCAGCTCCTCCTCAGCCTCGCACACCATACAAAGTTTTATTAAGAAAAACATATCAGTGGAAAAAGAGATGCACAGCACTGAAGTGCACCCAACCACAATGAACATCAAAGCAAATTCTGAAACGCTCGTGTTGTCTTCTGACTGGTTCAATGCAAAAACATGTGTTTAAGATGCAAAAGCATAAAACAGACCTTTTGCTATGACACTCAAATACAACAAGGAACCAAGCAGCAGTAATGCTGTTAAAAGTACCACTCCTATGATAAAATACAATTTTTTTCTGTTATACAGACAATATACTGATTGCTCAGGTTAACTGTTCCTTTCGGGACAAGGCAGCTGAGTAAAATCTACAGTGCACACTCCACAGATCATCTGTAAAAAACTTGCCATAATTAAAATTAATGCACCCTGTCCTGGGTTGAGTGAGTGGTGGAGTTTTTCTGGTGGCAGGGGAGGGGGCTGCAGGGGCAGCTCCCTGTCAGAAGCTTCTCGAAGCTCCCCCTGCTCCAAGTCAGCTCCACAGGAGACAGCAACAGGAAAGCACTGAAAAATACTGGTGCTACAATTGTAACATGCCAACACTGACACCAACACTAAAACATCCCAGGGCAGGATGGAAGCAAATAGCTTCTGGGTACTACCTCAGTGTTTGAGGTTTGACTGTTCAGAAGTGCAAAAATTGTTGAACAAAAAATATTGATTCTATACTAGCAGATAGATTACATTTATTTGGCTAATGAATTTCAGAAATGCACCAGCAATTCAAGTGAAAGAACTAAATAACAAGCTTTATCATCTCCATGCTCATACACAAGGGAGAACAATGTTTCTGAAATTCTCTTCCATGGAAGTAGAAAAATATTTCCCAGAGTGAATCCATTCCCATCATTTAGGATCACTGTTTTCTTTTCAGGGCACAGAGTACAATGATCTGAGATCATCTGCCTTTAACTATGCTAGCTACAAAACACACACACAGATTTTTAATACTGCTTCTTGGCCAGTAGTTCTGAAAGGTAGCTATGCTCCTCCAACACAGAGAGTAGGATTACTCAAAATTTATAACTGTTGGACACATATACAATTTTACTAGAGTTAATCATCCCCAGATATGTTTTCAGGACCAAGTGTCACTGAAAAAAACTGTGTTTGAAAACAATTAGAAAATTCTGAAGGGGAACTAAGAACACCCATCTTTTCTCCAGGGATGCACTCAGTAAATTGAGGTCAAGAGAACTAATAAGAAAAAAAAATTTCTTTTTCTTGACACAGTTAATCTTCATTTTAATTGTTCTCTTCAAAATTTACAAAAAGCCTGAAATCTCTAATACTTCAACATTCTTTGGAGACCGCATTAAAAATTCAGCTTACCTTATAGATTGGATATAACTATGCTGTACCTGCAAGAGAAAGAGCTCCCCTGAAACTGCTTATCTTATACCGTATGCTTATCTAAGCAGCAGAACATAAATCCTCTGCTATAATCCTATATGTCCCATTACAACTTGTGATGACTCTGTACCTTACCCACTTATGTACACAAACCACGTACCTGAAAAGGCACTGCAAAGTTTAGCATTGAGAGGAAAAATCTTTGTTTACAGCTATTAGATCATACCTGAAACAGACACCATTGGCTCTTCTTCATCAGAAACTGCATGTGGCTTTGTTAAAGGTAATAAACAAAAAGAGAGCAAGCTTGGCCCTTAAACAGAACAACAAAAATAAGTATTTTGGCTCTGACTTTGAAAAGACTGTTGATAAGACAACAAACTGGCAACTCTTTGGGAGCACCAAAACCAAGTAAAACCTGACTAGGAAAAACAAAACACACACAGATTGCTAAAAAGTATTACTCCTCCTTCACTGTGCATTAACTTTCAGACTGTAAAGATTATCTTGGAGGTCACTTTCAGAAAAGATCCCAGGGACCAGCCCCAATTACAAGTGCAATTACTAAGATAATGAAGTAATAATATTTATTTAAATTGGAGCAGGTTTTCATTATATAAAGAACCTCTTGATATGTAGGGAAGACAAATTCCAAAACAGTATATATTCATACTGAGATGAAATACATTTTGTATAACTTATTCTAAGAAACATAAATGAGGATAAATACAAAAGATTTCAAAGTTGGTCATTCTCATCTGATCATCACATGACGAGTAACAGATGAAAGCTTGAGGACTGATTTTCTTTAAGAAGTTTCAAAAACTTTCAAACAACCCAGAGGTTTAACTATTAAGTTATTTGACTGCAGAAAACACTTAGAAATCACAAAGGACCAGATACAATATTATTTGTGTTATGTTAGCAGTCACTGAACCTAAATCTTCGATTTCTAGAAGTCTCTAAAAATAGGACTCAACACAATTCAGGGAAGGGTGTAAACTATAGTGTCTTCCTTAAAGCAACAGTTTCATTTAGCTGAACATAAAGATTTTTATTCCCACATGAACAACTAACATTACACTAAAGTAAAAAAATAAAAGCACAGAGCACAAAATTCTGTTCCACCGTCTTTTGTTTATACCCCTTTACTTTCCTCAACCTTCTAAGGTTGGCAAATTAACTCAATTACCTAATTTCTGTACTGTTTACATATAAATGCATTTAAGGTTTTGCAGTTGTCTTCATACAATAAAGTCAAATTGTGAAAATATCTCAGTTAACCTGTACAAACTCTTGCCCTAACTAGAATTTGATTTTTAGTAGTACCAACTCAAAAACTTAATTTAATAAATTCTACACAGTGGAGAAATGAGCAACAGCCTAGAAGCTTCCATCTGTGGACAGCAACTTCAAATTCAATCAGTCCATCACACAGCTGGTATTTGGCACACTGGAAGGGTTTGATCACAGGCTCACTTGTGATCTTGTTGATCCCCTTTATCACTTGTAAACAATTATCACTCATCAGTCTTGCATCAGTTTGAGAATATGTTCACTTAGTACTACTGTCAAGCCATCTCTCTCTACAAACACTGAAAGCGCTTTTGTTCTCACTTGTAAGCTGCAGCCTGCTATCTCTAGCTGTCACAACACATTGTGGGGTCATGCCATGAACCAGGTAAGGAAGCTGGATAAACTCTGAAAGTAAAGCACTCTGACCCCTCTTTCCAAAAAGCACCGATGTAGATCAAAAGTCCAAGTCTGGATCACAGCCCAGCCCCAACAGCTGTGTCAGCACAACTCCAACAGCAATCTTCAGGACACTGAGGACTTCAGGACATCTTCAACACATACTGCTTTGGGAAACAACAAACTTCAGTGTAGGCGATTGCCTTCTCAACTGACATATGGTTAACCTGTGTGTCAATATGCATCTATAGGAAATAAAACTCATTTGTCTTAACAACATTCAGCTTTTGACATCTGCCTCCAGTACTGGCACTGTTGTGGAGAGATACCTAGTGGCAAAAAGAAAAAAATTAGTCAAAGCTGTTGCTGTTACTCCTCCCAGCTAACAGGACCAGTCTCCCATGAAGGTTTGCAATCTAGTGCATTAGAATAAACCAAATTCAGATCAGGTTACTGTAATCAGCTGGACTGAAAATTTCAGTGACTCAGGAGCTGATTCATAAAGAGGTCAAACATCCTTGCCTCAGAGTGAAAGACTAGGTACAGCACCAGCATCAACTATTTAACATTAATCCATTGCCACATGCCTCTCAAGACTCCCGGTAAGGTGACTATACACATTATAAACTCTGTACCACCACAGGTAATATTCAAGGCACCAGAAGAAACAGTCACACAGGCATCAGAGAAACTGCACATCTTATAATGCTGTATGGCTCCCCTACAGCAACAGTGCATCTGCCTTGCTATGCTGTATCTATTCAGCAATTACAGAGACACATTCAGTTTTCCAAAGCTATTACACCAACATTACCAAATCTCCCAAACTTCCCATCCCCACCCTTTTTGAAAGCATTCACTATTATTTGTTCTTGTGCCGTATGCATTTCCAGATATTTAAACTTTTCCAAGATCAAAGGCAACACTACCTACTTGCAAAAACATGTACAGTGGAAATGGTTGTCAGGAAGAGCATCATTCCTTGGAATATCATGCTGCATGAGGACACTGCTGGGCTCAAGAAACCATATTTAATATCGTGGTTTAAAACCAATAAGCAGCCAAACACCGTGCCACTGCTCAGGGTATGGGGAAGAGAATTGGAAAAGTAGAGGTAAGGAGACTCATAGGTTGAGATAAAAACAATTTAATATTTGAAATAAAATAAAAATAATAGAAAATACAAATGAGTAATACACAATGTGATTGCTCACCATACACTGATAGATGCCCAGCCCAGCCCTGGAAAGCAATCCCAGAGAAAAGAAGATCCCAAAATCACAATCCCAGAAGCGAGAGAATGAGCTTCCCAGACAACACTCATCTATATACTGTGATGTGACATGATAGGGAATATTCCCCCAGCCAGTTTGGGTACATTGTTCTGTCTGTGCTCCCTCCCAGCTTCTTGTGCCCCTGCACGCTAGCAGGACACGAGGAGTTGAAAAGTCATAGAATCACAGAATGGTTTTGATTGAAAGGGACCTTAAAGATCACCTAGTTCCAACCCTCCTGTCACGGGCAGGGACACCTTCCACCAACCCAGGTTGCTCAAAGCCCCATTCAACCTGGCCTTGAACCCTTCCAGGAAGGGGGCAGCCACAGATTCTCTGGGCACCTTGTGCCAGCACCTCACCACCCACACAGGGAAGAATCTCTTCCTTGGATCCAACCTAAATCCACTCTCTTTCAGTTTAAAACTATTACACCTCATCCTGTCACTACTCCCCGATAAAGAGCCCCTCCCCACCCTTTCTGTAGCCCCCTTTAAGTACTGGAAGGCCACTATAAGGTCCCCCTGGAGCCTTTTCTTCAGGATGAACACCCCCAACTCTCTCAGCCTGTCCTCACAGGGGAGGTGCTCCAGCACCCCGATCATCTTCAAGGCCTCCTCTGGACTCACTCCAGCAGGTCTGCATCCTTCTTATGTTGGGGCCCCAGATCTGGACACAGCACTATAGGGGTGGTCTCACAAAAAGAGCAGAGGGGGAGAATCCTCTCCCTCAAGCTTCTGGTCACACTTCTCTTGATGCAGCCCAGGGTATGGCTGGCTTTCTGGGCTGTGAGTCCACATTGCTCACTCACAGTCAGTTTTTCATCCACCAACAGCCCCAAGTCCTTCTCTACAGGACTGCTCTCAAGCCACCCATTGCCCAGCCTTGGGATTGCCTTGAAGCATGTTCAGGACCTTGTACTTGGCTTTGTTGAACTTCATGAGGTTTGCACAGACCCACCTGTCCAGGTCCCTCTGGATGACATCCCTTCCTGCCAGTGTGTCACCACACAGCTAGGTACCATCAGCAAAGTGGTTGAGGGTACACTTGATGACACTCTCCGTGTTACCAACAAAGATGTTAAACAGCACCGATACCAACACCGACCCCTGAGGAACACCATTCATCATTGGTCTCCACTTGGACATCAAGTCATTGAATGCCACTCTTTGAGTGCGATCAACCAGACAATTCCTGGCTGGACCACTGACTGGTCCATCTGTCAAATCCATGTCTCTCCAATTTAGAGACAAGGATGTCGTGCAAGACAGTGTCAAATGCTTTGCACAAGTCCAGAGAGATAATGTCAGTTGCTCTTCCCTTATCCACCAATGCTGTAACCCCATCATAGAAGGCCACCAAATTTGTCAGGCATGATTTGCCCTTAGTGAAGCCACGTTGGCTGTCATCAATCACCTCCTTATCTTCCATGTGCCCTAGCAGAGTTTCGAGGAAGATCCACTCCATGATCTTGCCAGGCACAGACGTGAGACTGACTGGCCTGCAGTTCCCTGGGTCTTTCTTTTTTCACATTTTAAAAGTAGGGGTTATGTTTCCTCTTTTCCAGTCAGCAGAAACTTCACTGGACTGCTACAATTTCTCAGATAGGATGGATAGTGGCTTAGCCACTTCATCTGTCAGTTTCCTCAGGACTCGCAGAAGCATCTCATCAAGTCCCATGGACTTGTGCACCTTCAGATTCCTTAGATGGTCTTCAATCTGACCTTCTCCTACGATGGGTGGTTATTCATTCTCACAGTCCCCATCTTTGCCTTCTGCAACTTGGGCAGTGTGGCTGGAGCACTTGCCAGTGAAGACTGAAGCAAAAGAGTTATTGAGTACCTCAGCCTTCCCCACATCCCATGTAACAGATCTTCTATTTCCTCCTGTAGAGGGCTCACACTTTCCCTAGTCTCCCTTTTATCACCAGCATACCTACAGAAGCTTTTATTGTTGCCCTTGACATCCTTGAAATCCTGGCCAGATTTAATTCTATCAGGTTTTTGGCCTTCCTGACCTGGCTGCTCAAACAATTTCTCTGTATTCCTCCCAGGCTATCTGTCCTTTCTTCCACCATCCGTAGGCTTCCTTTCTGTTCTTGAACTTGCCCAGGAGCTGCTTGCTCATCCATTCAGGCCACCTGGCAATTTTGACTGACTTCCTCTTTGTTGGGATACATCACTCATGAGCTTGGAGGAGGGAATCCATGAATATCAACCAGCTCTCTTGGGCCCCTCTTCCTTCCAGGGCTTTAGCCCATTCTACTCTGCCACGCAGATCCCTGAAGAGGCTAAAGCCTGCTCTCCTGAATTCCTGGGTAGCAAGCTTGCTGTGCGCCCTCCTCACTGCCCTAAGAATCTTGAACTCCAAGAAGCAATATCTAAAAACATCAGTGTATTACCAACATTTTTCTCATACCAAATCCTATACTGAAACCAAAACACAGCACTATTCTAGCTACTAAGAAGAAAAAATCACTCTATCTCAGCCAAAACCAGAACAGTTAGTCATGGGAAACAACCTGTCACCCCAGTAGCTAACTGATATAAATACACTGTCACTGTTACGGCATCAATACTTCCACAACTGAAGAGCAGTGACAGTGTGGCAACAGATCGGATGACTACCTACCCTCAATCTATCATATCACAGAAAAAGCTGTAGGCAATTTATTTTAATTTTTTCTTTTTTTGTTACACAAATGGGAAATCATGACAATGTGCTCTCTAAACAGTCCATCGGACAATTGGCCCGTTTCATTTGTGCATTGTTTTGCAGTGAGTGTGCAATCAAACAAAAATACAAGAGCACACACATATACTCTTCTTTTCAATCACTTCTAGCTGATGCTGGGATCCCACTCTCTGTTTTAAGCAACAGCAATGCTTCAAGGCCATCATGCCTGCAGCTAAATTGTCAGCTCCTAAATTTCCTCCAGGCCAGACTGCCAGTTTCACCCTAACATCCTCAAGTATCTGGGCCTCTACCTCAGCCACACAAGCCCAGACATCAATGCCAACTCCTTCTCGTCCTCCGAACCATGCAGGTGCATCTCTCCCTATCCAGGCTTGTACAGGCTGAATCCCCAACACCACAAGCACCGCTTAGTCTACCTACAGGTCCAGCCCCATGCAGTGTTCCACAGCTGGAGCTTGCGTGTCTTCTGCAGACAAAGCCACCACTTGTCCCTCACAGACAGACCCCTCCTGGTTCCCCACAGGCTCACCCTAAGTGCTATGCTCCTGCTTAGACAGCACTCACAAAAGACACATCTTTTTCTTGCTGCCTGTTCAGCTGCTAGCCTCAGTTTCTCACTGCTGATTCCTTTTCAACCTTCCATGAGCTGAACCCAATTTCCACATTTTCTACATATTTACCTCCCCTAGGACTTCTCAGCTAGGTCACATGGAAGGTGGACAACCAACCTTCCTTCCTCTCGCAGGCCAGCTTTGTTTTTAAAGCCCAAGTAACTCTCCACTCCCCGGACACAGGCACACGCCCAACCTCTCGATTCCCCCACACTCACGAGTGGACCACCACCCACCCCACCCCCCCCAAGACCTCCTGTGCCACGGCCGCCAAACCCCACCCGGCCCCCGGCCCCACACCGGCTCCAGCCTTCTCTACACCAACACCCCAACGCAGACGCCCCCGCCGCCTGCCCTGACAGGCCGCCCCCAAACTCACACCCTTCCCCGCCAGCACACCCCCCACACACACCGCGGAGAGGTCCCCCCGCCCAGGCCCCGTCGCCATAGCAAGAGCCCCGGGGCAAAGGCCCCGCCGCGGCCCGCTCCGAGCCGCCCACCGCCACTCTGTAAGGATACTGCCCGGGCTCCAACGAACCCCTCCGCCCGGCCCAGGGACCACCTCCGCCATCTTGAAACAACCGCCACTCCCAGCGTGCCCCCCAGAGCCCCCCCAGCGCTCGCTGCCCATTGGCTGCCCGCCCCGCCGCTGCCGGCGTAGCGGGGCATGCTGGGAAGCGCAGTCCCTCCGGGCACAGTCCCACGTCCCGGCGAGAACTACGGCTCCCAGCGCGCCTCGCGGCGCAGCCGCCGCTACAGGGTGAGAGGAAGGACAAAAGGAGTTAGGTCCCGTCGTTGTTTTCCCCCCCACCCCACCCCTACATACACGCCCCCCCGTTGGCCTCGCCCTCGCTGTCGGTGAGGGGAGCCGGGCGGAGGATGGAGGAGAAGCCCTCCGCCAGCATCAAGCCCTACCTGGACAAACTCACCCTGGGGGTCACACGGATACTGGGTGAGTGGCGGTGCGCGACAGCCCCCACGGGCCTGGCCAGGTTCGGTTGTCATGGAAACCGCCGCCGGGCGGGAAGGGGCGGGGGGACTGCCTCAGCACTCAGGGCCGGGGGGGGGGGCCCGACCTCTGTCATGGCCCCGGGGACTCCGCGGCGGCGGCGGGGCTGGGCCCAGCCGTGGCCGCCCGCCTCAGCCCTGCGGCCGAGAGCCCCGGGCAGCCGCGGGGTGAGGGGTGCCGGCAGGGCTGGGAGCCGCGGCGCTGCGGGTCAGGCCCCAGCCGCGCGGTTCTCAGGATCCCGCCCCCGGAACCGCATAGCTGTGCTGCTTCTACACGCACACACACACAAAAAGCAAACAAACAAAAAAAAAAAAAAAAAAAAAAAAAAAAAAAACCCTGTTTCTAGCCTTAGAATCAATGGCCGAAATCCTGCATCTCTTGGCTAAAGAGAGCCCTACAGTTTCAAAAAAAAAAAAAAAAAAAAACAAAAAAAAACCCCACCCTGTTTCTAGCCTTAGAATCAATGGCCGAAATCCTGCATCTCTTGGCTAAAGAGAGCCCTACAGTTTCAAAAAAAAAAAAAAAAAAAAAAAAAGAACACAAAGAAAGAGAAGGTAGTGTCTTATCCAAAATCATGAATAAGTCACAGTCTCTCACAGTCTCTGTTGTAATGTACCATCAGCAGGTAGCATGCCCTGTGGAAGGTGGAAGGTTCTGGCAGAAGACTAATCTGTGAATGTCCTCAGGATCAGCTCCCCATGAATAGTCACCCTGCATTCTTATTCCCATACCACGGGACTTTTTCCATGGCATGCCCAGCTTGCCATCTCCAGTTTTTGCTCAGATCTTGAGCCTTCTTGCATCCCTGGAGTTCCATTTGAAGATCAGCAGGAGTGCAAGGCAGCAAACATCTGAAAGTAAGGCTTCTCAGTCAAAACTTTACTCACAGCAGTAGTAGAATCACAAGAACTGGTGAAAGCGCATGTGTAAAGGATTTTAGCATCAGACCTTTCATGTGTGAGCAGCTTGGGGCACCAAACACATATAGCAATACATCAAAGCCTAGCACATGGCAACATTACAAACTGCAGTTCCAGAACTTCTTCCCATTAATTTTAAAGCCAAAAGTGACTGCTTTAGTTACCTCACCCAGCCGTTGTATTGCAAGACAGTGAGATTCATCTGGTAACCTAAGTGTATTGCTAATTACACATGCCTTTAGATAGCTGCTCAGACAGACAAGACTAAAAGATCAGGGCAAAATTCTTACTGTGAGCATCAGTGAGGACAGGATTTCATCCTCAGTCTCTGTTCAGTGCTCTCTTACTAACTATTGGACTTTTGGGGGGATTTTTGTTTGTATTTTTCATTTTCCAGTTGTGAGGTCAGGGTAACATCATTCTACTCTGTGAGAGCATTAAAGAGGTAAAACTACTGATGATTAACCATCATGGCAAACACTTCTTTGAAGTAGTTCTTTTTAAAAAATTACTAGCCCTACCCACATTTTCACCACCCAGGCTCAGCTGTATAAGATCTGCATGATGTTAACTATTTCCAAAGGTAATGTTGTCATATAAACTGTTTTGAGTAGGTGTGTTATTTACACCAGCAAGACATGGCGATGCAGGTTTGGCTCTGAAAGTCCTGTAGCATCCCCTTCACATGGAAGGTGTTCCCTCATTTCTATTTGAGTTTTCTGTCTGTATCTCTGACAACTTGTATCGTGCAATATAGCAATGCACACCCCAGTCCATTGCGTTGAAGGCTTTACTTTAGTTCTTTTTTTTATCTCTCCACTTTTCATGGGAACTTTGCACATTTTTTCCCAGTGAAGTAGTCCAAAGCATGTAAATTGTGCCACCATATTAATTAGAATTGCTGAACTAATTGGGAAACATTACCAATCTGTTCGACATTTGTTTCTTTCAAATAACAAAGGGTATCTCATTCAGAAAGATGCCTTAATTGGTAGTTTGCAGAACTAGAAACTATCTTATTTTAAATCTTCTTTTGGGAAGTCTCATGAAGCCAATAGATACTCTTCTGCCTGCCATAACATAAAAGCAGTAATAGGCTTTTAACTTTGAGTTTGTGAAGCACTTTTTTCAGGCAACAGAAATGATCATGTAATGAGACTTAACATACTCCTTTTAAGCAAGACAATTTTGCACGTACTGTATAAGGGAGCCTGAGGACCAATTTTCCAGTACTTTTACGAAAAAATATTCATGGCATCATTTCAAAAATCCTCCTTTAAAAAAATTCTATATATGAGGTTGGAGGGGAGGGGCTTGTTTTGCTTTTTTAAACTTGTAGTCTCTGTGAAGTCCCTACAAGGTGAGAGATTTCTCACACGCATTATGGAGGTTATAATTCGGGGAAAAAAGACAAGCATCTTTCCCATTGCCAGTATGATTCATTTTGCTGAAGTTTTATGACTAATAGCAAATTCCAGAAAGGTTGATTGCTCACAGCTAAATCTGAATGGGAGGTGTTAGCTGTTCTGAACTGCCCAGAGCAGGACCATGATGCACTATTTACAGTGCTTATTGGATAAGAATGGAACTATTCAGATATTTTTAAAAGATGCTGAGAACTTACCCAACTTACAGACAGTATTAAGAGGACCATAAGGACTGATAATTCTGTGATTTCCTGCTTCAACTTTGTGTCACACCATTATATCAACTCTTTCTGATAAATACTGCAAATCATTTTTGGAAGCTATGTCCTAAGAATAGGACATAGTTACAGTGGTCTAGATTCAGAGTCATTAATAGGGAGGAGTCATCCAAACTTGTTAAGCTTTATCCTGTATCTTTTGTCTAACCAAGGTGGCTTCATTATTTCTTCCATCTGGGTGAAAAAGCAACCCATGGCAGACTTCTTTTCCTCATTAATGTTTAATAGAGCTTCTGTCCATACTTACATGCATCTGTTAAACGTGGTCTTCAGTTTACCCACAGGATATTTTTGTTATAACATTCAGGCTTTTGAGATGGAATTTCTCTTTCTTTTGATCTTGGATTTGGTTCAGACCTCTTTAGAAGTTGCAGTTCTCTTGTTCCTAGACATCTTCTTTGACTGATAAGATATTTAATCTTCTGTCATCCCAGCTGAGCTCTTGTGCATGATAAATTAAACATCCCTACTGTTTTCTTTGATCACAGAAATAACAATTACTCTGTTATTATAGTCTCTTAACTTGTCATAAGGCTTGCATAGCTTAGATGGAAAAGACCGGTTAGATCTTCGATTCCACGTGCTTCTTTAGAAGCACAATACAAATGGACAGCTTATATTTGAGCAAGAGACACATCCCCCTGCCTTGCACCCCCCTATTGGAAGTGAAATTGGCAAAATATCAGAGTCTTCTGTATGTTGGGGCCCCCCTTTGGCCAGACAGATTACCTAGGTGACCTACTATGATTTGATTAATTTTCTTTTTTCTGTCTTTAGGTTGGAGGTTGGTTTTCTGGTGCTACATTTTGTGTTTTAAAATATGTGACAATGTACCAATCAATACTCACAATTAAAATGAAGTTTAGACTTCCTGAAACTGAATGCTGTTCTTCCACCAACAGAACAGACAAGGACAATGCTACTGCTAGAACTAAAAGCCCAGTGCTGGAGATAAAAACCAAACCAAAGCTCTCTAGTGCCTGCCTTTCCTGTCTAGTACACTGTGTATGTTTTACCAGAAAGCAATTATAATATGTGTGACTGCTTTGGGAGACAATACTTTCACAGCAGAGCCGGTCTTGAAAGCCCTGCATAGTGATCACTTCTGTTCCACAGTTCTGTGTGCTGGGCTTTCAGTTCCCACAAGAAGTCAGTAGTCTTTCTGGACCTGATCCAAAGTTAATGAAGTCAGTGGGAACTATTTCAGTTGGCCGTAGATGAAGTAAAACATTATAAAATCATAACTGCAATGGAGACTGTTCTGCCATGGCACACCTGCAGGGATAGCACCAGGTAGATTATTATCTTGCATTTATATAGCATTCTTTCCCATAAATAATTCAGATGATTTTTATAAATTATGAGCTCAGTGCTTGTAACTAATTTGCACGTGTCCAGCTGCAATTTGAGAGAACTGATGTTTGTTCATGCGGATCCCTTTGGGAGGATCAGATTCTGTGTCTGTTCAAACCCACTGAATCGAGCACTGAAGTGGGCCCATCTTTGTGGAATACAGTTGTTAGCAATTCACAGCAACACTGTACACTATCTTGTGTCAAGCTGAGAATATCCGACCCAACTGAAACCACAGGGCATGCTTACAAAGAAATATTCATCTCTCTTTTAGAGTTTGACCAGGAACACACGGTTGTTTTTTCCATGAATCCTCTGCAAAAGATCACACCTTGAATACAGAATGTGCATGTGTGTGTATATATATCCATAAAAACCATCAAAGGATGGCATCATGCAGCACTAGGCATCCTCATGACAAGACATGCTGAGTACAGCTACAGACAGAAGAAAGTGACTGCTCAGTCACCAGCACAGTGCTTGCAGTCATTAACGCATTTTACCCAGCTGTCAGTCAGGTTAACTTGCAAAATTGTCTGGCTCATAGTGTTGGTGTTATCCGTGCCAGCTGCAAACATGCTTATCTTTTCCTTTTAGAGACTTCTCCAGGAGTTGCTGAGGTGACGTTTGTGGAAAAGGAGCCAGCTGAACGCCACACAATCATTTCATGGGAGCAAGTGAGTATTTTCCCGATAATACTGCAGTGAGGTCAGTCTGAATCTACAGCAGCCCATGGAGAATATGAAATGCAATACCCACCTTATGCTTGTTTGTGTGACAGCCTGCTACCAAGTTTGATGCACAGCGGAGCCTAAACAGATTTTTTGGGGTATTTTTATCGGGTACTACAACATCTTTTAGGCTATGACATGCATCTGATCTGCTAGAGAAACTTCATCAGTGTGCATATATTCAGAATGACAACTACAAGAAGAAATGACATAACTGTAGTAGGCAGCAACAGTGGTGACTCAGTGGAGAACAAACATTGTTCTGACACAGCTCTGAAACCATTTTCCCTCTCCCTTTCAAACAAAATGAAAAAACTCTTTATTATTCATGGCCATTAAAGGTAAAGGCCTCAAGCTGAAAAATACCGCTGAGCCACCCACTTTGTTCCAGTTATCTATTTCTCTTTTCAGTCTCAGCTATTCACTTCCATTTCTCATAGCCTCTCCTTCCACCTCCTCCTTGGATAACCAGCCCAATCTTTTGGCCAAGGCATGTCCCATTGACTGTTCTAGAAGACTATGAAGGAAACACACTACCTTCACTCCACATTAGCTCACTTTACTGCATCAGACTGCAGGACCAGAAGGCTCCTGAATACTGTTGTGTGACTTGGGTGGGCAGAGATGGCATTTTTGGTCCTCTTTTTGAATATACATGTGTTTATCAATCCCATGACCATGGGCAAATTGCTATCTAGGTATCTAGGGACAGCAGAAGCTGATTGGCCTTTGGAAAGAGGCATGGCAGAGGATGGAGCTGAATGAATCATCCTCCCTCTGCCCTGACCCTGGCTATGCCCAAACACTCATCCTTCCAGAGACTGCACTTGTTACCGCTACCTAAAATAACTTCCCCTTCATGATGCCTTGCCATTACAGTTTTTTGTAAACAGTAGGGAAAAATCTTGCCCTAATTTTGGTAACGCCCTATCCCAATTAGTGATATTTATCAGAAATTCATAAATCCAAGTCAGAATGTGCGTGATGTAAACCTGTGTTATTTACTGAAACTTGTACAGTAGCCAGCAACTATGGTCAGGCAGAAATGTCTGGTTTTTCAGGTTTGTGTGAACTGATTCCTGATTTCCTGTAGCTGTTGTTCAGGTGTCGGATTAGCTGGGATGGAAAGTCTGGGGCACCCTGACTGTGAGCCAGCTCAGGTCTGGGAGCAGCAGTGACATTCGTTCATTCTTCTGTTGAGTGGGGAGGACTGCTTCTCCTGAACACGGTGTTGCTCTCATTTTCAGGTGCTGCTACTCCTCCAAACTAAATTGTGTTTGTTTCAGAACTGAGATGTTCTTGTAAAGCCAGACCTTGGAATACTGTAGCCAAAGCACTTCACTGCAAATATGTCAAAGCAAAACTTTAGCTTGCCGCCACCCCAGTGATGAACTAAATTAATTGTGGAAATAAAGAGTAAAAAATAAGTAGATGCAGTTGAGCTGGACTGCTAATGGTGAAGAACTTTGATCTCTGTTTCTTTGATTTTGGTTCTAGTTGCATTGTCAAAACGTGAAATTTCTCGTGATGATTTATAAGAGAACTATTTTAACTTTCCTTTTTTCTCTTGAGCTTTGAGGATAGTCTGATACCTAACACAGTCCACGCAACAGCAGTATGTCCTGCAGTAATGATTAAGTGCAAAGCACTCAGCACCCCACAAGGCACTTCCAGGATGAACTTGTACCTCTTTTCCTCAAACTCACACCACTTGAATTGAAATGCAAGTTAATGTGTACCTAATACTCACTTTTATGTTTGTTTTAGGGTTTTTTCACAACCACTAGGTGGCAGTACTTATGCACGTAATCATGTCTCTGTCGTTTTAACAAGATCTTGTCACAGTCTGTTTGGTTATGAAAGTACTTGCAGGGCGTTTTCTGTGGTGTAGGGAAAACTGGTCAAACTATTCCCAAAATTACATTATTTTCCCCCCAAAAAGCGCTCTCCTTTCGTTGAGACTCACCACATAAAAGCTCTATTCTTAAGACTTTTGGTTTTACATTTTTTTCTAGAAGCAATTCCAGTCCTATTTCAGTTCTGCAATGGAAAGGTATTTCTGCTGAGAGAAAATCTATGGTATTCAGAAACTCTTAAAATCAACCTTTTTAAATTATGAATTACTAAAATTATATTCTAATAATGCTGTCAATATGCTTTTTTTTTTTTTTTTTCTCCAATGGCTGTGTTTTTTAATTGGGCTGTGCCCAGTTTGTGCTCGTATTTAACTGGATACAACAATGGAAATTTTAAAATCTTAGATCAGCTTGTTGAATGTCCATTAGCTGCCATGAGGCTTTGCAGGGAAAGGTGAGCTTCATGATAGGAAACAGTGGAGTAAGACAGTAAGAGAGCAGAAGAGATTTTTTCCAAGGCTTTCTCTAGAGGCAGAAAAGAGCTGTTAAATCTTACATTCAGAAAATCAAATCTGAAGTCAATCCTGAATATTTTATTGGAAATCAGTACACTCACAAAAATATTGAAGAATGTGATTGTCAAGTGTTTACATGGGTTGCATTGCTTCCCCAAAACTGTCAAGCAGTTCAAAATATTTTAATAAAAATAGATAATTTTTTCACCTTTCCTGATATTTAGACCTACGAAGATGTTATCTTTTTCCCAAGAAAGTAAGACAAGCAATAGAAGGGGGGGTAGAGACAGAGTTACCAAGTCACTAGAACACCATTGTTAATAACTGTATATCATCCTGTGAACCTGTTTGCACTTGTAAAATTGGGCTGGCAACTGCCCTGCTCCCCTCCACATGCAGTTTTTAAAAGCAGGTGTTATACTAAAGTGTGTAGGTGTATAGTGATAGGAGACACTCAGGTGTCTGCAGTGACAATGTCTTAACCACATTTTCTTTTTGCCTTAACCAGAAGAGAAATAAGTCACTCACATCATTGTTTCGGTTTTCAAAAAAGAGAAATTTCTGTTCTGTTAGGGGGAGCTGGAGGTCCCAGAGCTCAGCACCTCAGCAGGCCAAGCAAAATGAAGGAGGTCACTTTGCCTGTTCCTCTAATTGGCTTGTTAACAGTGTCTGAACTGCCCCTGGCTGGCTCTAAGCAATCCCTGCCCAGTACATTACTGGAGCTTTGGTATTCTACAGCTCTGCATGGGAAATCTGTTGTTTCTCTTCGTGCACGTTGTCTACAAAGATTTATTTTTCTATGATAAAACCATAAAAAAGCCCTCAAGCAATCTGGTGCTTTCCGGTTATGGACTGTCTTAGGCTACCAGACAATTTAGAAACTCCGCATGTAAATCTCAGTGGGAACTATGATGGTGTCTCCTGGCTATTCTATAAATCTTCCTCAATGTTCCTACCATATCTCTTTTTGACCCAAAAGTACGCGTGCAGGCGTGCTCATCCACAAGGGTCCTTCTTGGCATCCTCCTTGTAATGTCCTCCCCTCGGCGTTAGGCAAGCCTGCCATCTCCGATGCCGAGGAGCACAGGATCTGCCCATCTTGAGCCTGCCTTGTGGCCCTGACCATGGGGGAGGTGGGGAAGTGGATCCAGCAGAACCAGTGCATGAGAAAAGATACATTTTTTTCAAGCTGCATAACACAGGAGAGGCTGGAGGACTTTGGGGAGGTAGATGGTGTTTCTGACACAGTGTTCCTTTCCTGTGGGGCCTTGTAATATTCTGACTGAAAAACTGGATACACAGCACCATCCTCAAGAGAGTTACCGAATCCTGCTCTCTGCAGTGGGAGCTCAGGTTTACCCCAGCCCTGTACCTTTCAGGGCAGGAAATCCAAGCAAGGTGATCTCCTGGTAGCCCTCCCTAGAACAGATTTATAAAAGGTGCAAGAGTAATGTCTGTTACATAAATTAACATCTGCATTCATTGGCAGCCAGTGCAGACCAGTCATGAAACAGCATGACATTAGGGGGAGAGAAGGGTGGCTGCTGATGTGCTCTGATACTTGGAAGCCCTGAGAATTGACATAAATCCCTACCTTCTCTCCCCAGAAACTGGATAGAACTCATACAGTTTTTTAGAGAAGTCTCTCTAGAGCTGTATGTTTTGATTGCTGTCCATTTCTTTAGGCAATTTGCTTGGGAGGCATTGTTTCAGCGGTGCTTTAAGTGAATTGCCATATGTCAGTGTTTTAGCCCTGGATCCAGCGCTGATCAGATCTTGGCAGCAAAACTACTCTGGTTCTATCCTCAGTGGACCGTGCTTTCTTGGGAGACTATTTGGGGATATTATGGACAATAAACAAAAGAAATAGACCTCACACACCATACTGGGCACTTGGGATATTTTGTTTTATGAGCTGATGAGTGTAACCAGATGACTAGAGTGAAAACAGCTGCTTGCCAGGGCTGTGGTTGAGCTACTTCTGGCATGTTATTAGGAATATTGTATTTTATGGGGCTGGAGATCACAACCCTGGAAACTACCAGTTGAGCAGGAGGAGTACAGAGCTTGAGAAGCCATTTTTAATATATAGTAGTGGCTTGTTTCTCTAACTCTGCTGTCAGAAAACCACTGTTGTGATGTCACAGGGTCATGTGGCTGAGTATAATATGACAGGTCAATCAATCCTTTCCATCAGATGGGAGAGATGGGTATTAGTGAAGCCTTCTATGTAGAAGTCTTTTCCTATAGACCCCAGATTTGCTCTGATACAGCATTTTCCACCCACATATTTTGCACCACCATTTGGAAAGTCATGCAAAGGAACATGATTAGGAGAATCCTGAAATAAAGTGGGAAGGGCAGCAGTTTGGAGAAACATGCTCATGTTTACCTTTCCATTCAGAAAAGGAGGATTCAGAGCAGAAGGCCTATCCAGATGTGGGTATTTTCTTTGTCTTAATCAGCTATGTTTGTTAAATTGGGGTGTGCCCAGTTTGTAGTAGTATTTAACTGGATACTAAGGTGGAAGTTTTAAAATCTTAGATTTTGCCATCCCAATGGATTTAGTTCTCCTGCTTAGGTTAGAACACCTACTGAAATCAAGATAGCTGTTTACATATATATTTTTACTGCTGGGGTAGATTAGTTAAAATTGGAGGGGTTGAAATGGACTGAAAGTGCTGTGTAAACATTTGTACTCTTCTGACGCTTTGTAGCAGGTCTTTCTTCATAGTTTTAACCCTAGTCACTGCGCTTACAGCTACAGCTTGCAATTGGAAGTGGTGAAAGCACAGCGTGAAATTATAAATATTTAGGACTGAGAAGAACCCACAGAAGAAGGTGTGTTTGTTAAAGGCATTTGAAGAACTTCAGATATGTCCATGTGGTTTAGTAATCTCCTGAAATTTCCCACCAGGGCCTCAGCCGTCAGCAGACTCTTATCATAGGGCAATAAATTCTTAGTTTCTACAGTATCAGATTCTTTGCTTTAATACCTGTTGCCTCTGAAGATTCTCCCTACCTGGGTTAGGAAAGCACTGTACTAGTGACCAGGCTGCTAATGGGACAAGTAAAGTCACTTGCCCTATTTCAAGCTGCAAAGCCATTGATATCTGGGACTTGTCAGTAGCCGTCTGTCAGCATATATGGATATGCTTAGAAAATACATAAGAGTGAGGGTTGTTGGTGAGTTAGAGGGTCCTGCAGAGCATATGCACCCATAGTTTAGGGGACAGGGACTTTAACAACTTAAAGAAAAGTGTCTGTGAGTAAGACTTTAACAGGCAGAAGTGCTGCCCTGATGCTAGGGGAGGGAGGGAATGTGGGAAGGAGGAGGCCAGTGCCTTCCCTTGCTCATGACAGTCACTGATGACCAGAGGCTGGCATTGCAGCAGGATGCACAGCTGGCAGGTAGCTCCTGCTGGATAGATGCATTGAGGCAACATCAGGGCAGATAACTGGATATGCACAAGTAGTAGAAGAATCTGATCAGCTTCTGTTGAGATGTTACAGATTCGTGCCAAAAGCGAAGCAAAGCTACCTGAACTGTGTATGCATGTTTCTTTTCCTTAGCTACTGGTTACCAGAATATTCTTCCTTTATTTAGTAAGAGTTTGAGTGTTACATTTTCTAGTACCTGTAGGTAAGTAGTCCTAGCTGAGTCACAATATTGGGAAGCTATTAACATCTGACTCCTCTGCTTTTTCCAAAGCAGTTCTATAACTTCTCCAAACTCCCCCAGGCCTCTGAGGCCAGGTTGTGAATACATACCTGAATAACATCTTGGTCTGTGACAGGACAAGCCTATATGAGAGACAGCACTACTGACCTATAAATATTCTTAAAGTTTGCAATTATATCTTTTCTTGCTTTGAGCATCAAACTCACTGCACAAAGAGCAGGCCATGTCCAACAGCAGATTTTTAAAATTGGCTGAATGCAAGGAATACACCTTTTTTAGACAAGGCTGAAAATCCTGTCACAAAAGTTAACAGGCATACTACACTGCAAATCTCACATTATTTATCCATTTTTCCTTGTGAGATGTAGCTCCCAGAGTCCTGTGATTATAAACAGATCTCAGATCAACATTTTAAAGAAGAAGTTGTCTATCCCCCTGGTTTAATGACAAAGCTTGACCCTCAAGGAGCTTATTTGTGTCTTTGTTCCTGAGCATATTTAAAAGCACATGGGACTGAGAAGTGAGGATGACCACAAGTTGCAACTTGGAGGTTCAGACTGCAGTTAAGAAAACTTTTTCACAAGGAGGGTGGTGCAGCCCTTGGACAAGTCAACATTGAGACTGTGGAAGCTGCATCATCGAAGACAATCCTGAATTTTCGGGTCTGATTCTTTTGGAGTCTTGAGTTTAACGATACTTTAAATGCGAACTCACTACAGTCTTTCTCAATCTGTTTTTTGTCTAGAACAATTGCAAACAAAACAACAGATAACATTTAGTCATGCATGTTGCTTGTCATCTTAAAGCTGACAGACTTCTGTACTGTTTCATTTAGTGTTCTTGACACATCAACAAGAGCTGGTAGGTCACTGGTCTGCAGCCAGTCCTATCACCAGGAGCAGTGCCTGCAGTTGCCTATAGCTCTTTGGGCTTCTTGTTTTGAGGACTAAGTCTTTATCCTTCCTCATATTTCTTGCCTACCTGGAGAGTTCAAGTTAAGAAAGGCTCTTTCTGCAACCAATATAGGTATAGGAAAAGGGTCCTTGTTCTTACAAACACTCTCACCAGCTCACTGGAGTTGCCTCTTTCACTGTTGGCTCAGAAGGAAGCAGGCTTAGGAGCCCTAGCCAAGCACTGAAGTTTGATGGGATGAAGCCAGACCATCAGGTTTGTGAGACTGACTCTGTATTTGCACACATACTGTTTGTGAAATTTTCCCAAGTCTTCTTTGTTAATACAGTAGCACAGACCCAAGAAATACACAGTTTTCTCTCAAGGCTTTGGGACGAGATCTTTGAACTGATTTGAGTCATCTTCTAGTTGAGCAAAACGTTTGGTGGCAAATATTTCTGTACTGATACTCAGTTGTTCTTCGGGTTTGAGGCACGTTCTGCATTTTCCAATAGCACTTTGATTGTGATTTGCAGAAAAACTCCTGCGTATTGCCAGAGGATTTAAAGAACTTCTATCTGATGACAGATGGCTTCCAGATGACCTGGAGTGTGAAGACTGATGGTGAGCCCATGTATTCCTCTGCACCAATACCCTCATTTCATTGCAGCCAGTCTTTCCTTTGCAGAATCTCTTTAATTTCAAACTTAATTTCTGCACAGTCAATGCACATCTGTCAGCGTCCTGCATTAGTCTGAGCAAAAGCACATGCACCAAGTCATTTTGAATGAAAAATTAGCACCATTCTTTAACTCACAAAGAAATGAAGTTGTTTGTTTCTGCTTGCCAGCTTGATCAGTGACTACAGAAAACTGACTTCTGGATTAATAAGTGAATGCAGTTCTGCATGGGATTGCAGACTATTTTAGAGATGTCCTGGTGAGGAAAAATTATGACTGCACATCAGAGGTCCCTTCCTGATGCAAGCCTATTGCTTGCATATGCTGGACTCCCACAGGAGAGACGTGTACGCTGAACACTGGCTGGAAACCAAACAAGTCTTCATGATATAAATACCATTCTGTAATATACTGACCATCTGTTGACTCTCAGATTTAAATATGTAGTTTAAATCCCATACCTAGACTCCCTTTGTAGTTCCTGGAGAGAGATGCAGCTCTAGCACATTATCCTATTATAAAGCAGTAGGGTCACCCTCTGATAATGCCTCTTACTCATTAGAAAGTATATTTAAGTGCCAGAGCCTGATGCTACTTTCCACCAGTTAAAAGTCCACTCACTGAAGTTATTTCTGGAGTCAGTGGTGAAAGCAAGAATAGGACCGTGCTTTATTGTCCATCCTTGTTTGGCAAGAATCAGGTGGTTCATTCACTCTGCACAGAAGCCCTGCCACTGTTATCCTGGCTCTCATTGCCTTCAAGTGAGGTTGTCAAATTGGGCTGTGGATACTGTTTGCTTCTGGAAAATACAGGGTTTTCCTCAGGAAGTAGAATTTCATTTCAGTAAAGTGGCTGTAGCTAGCCAGGATTTTTAATAGCCGGTTTCACAGGACCAGGCTAACAGCTGAAGCACAGGCTTAGCCAGCAGTGTAATTCTCATAACCTGCACAGCTCTGAGATGGTGTCACATTACCTGTAAGTGTGATTCTGCGTTTGAAAAAGCCTAATTTTTGCTCCTGTGGAGCCTTACTTGGTTAAGTGTCCGGGTCTGCTGGGTATACCCATCTCTTCTCCCGTTCTGTGTTTTAGAAGAGGTTGAGTTGACGTGTGGAGGAAAATAAATACCTCCTATGCTTTCCTGACACTGGATGTGGTAAATGATCATTCTTATTGCAGATACCCCAATGCCCCTCGGCTCCATGGTGATTAATAGCATCTCAAAGCTATGTCGGCTTGGAGGTTCCTCTAGGTACACTCTGCCTAATGCACCAACTCTTGCTGACCTGGAAGATGACACAGACGAAGAAGGTAAGGTCCTGTAAACAGTCTAGAAAATGTGCTCTGTCTCATCCCTTTTGCTCTTTTAGCGTAATGCTGGGATACAGCACATGGATATAGCAACAGAAAAGGTCACTCCAAGTACATGGGATTTTCTTTGTCTGCTGGGCTGGATCTACTGTATGTCCTATTAGTCCCCTACAGCCTTGACAGGTAAGATCTGTATGCTTTGAATCTCATGGGGATTGCTAATGCTGCCAGTTGCTAGTATTACTTACATCGTCTTTTAACATCCTGGCAGCCCTCCTGTTCTGCCTTTTCCCTATTTAAACTTTTAACTGAGGCTTCCTCCAGTGATACAGCTTCTAAAGTCTTCGTGTGTTTATGATGTTACACGAACAATCAGTTTTTGTCTTAGTAGTGAAAAGACTGCTGGATATGCCCTTTGGAATTGGAAAAGTAACTCTGGTAAATACGTGTAAGTGTGAGGTGGCACCAGAAAATATGTGTTTCCAGACTGCCTAAAAATGCTGAGCATCCTGCAGTTTGGAAAGAAAAAGAAATAAAAAAGCCCACTTCTTTTCTCAGAGCTCCTACAGTCTAAGAAGGCTGGAAGAATTAAGAAGATAAGAACAGAGCCAGGTGTCATGCTGACTCCTTACAAAATTGCTATTTGATTTCAGTCTTAACTCTGAATCTCTATAGCTCTTGTAGCTTCTAAATGTGGCTGAAAGTTTCTTTTTGCACATTCCAGCTTGGCTACAGTCCTGATCTTCTAGGTGTTGCAATGAAATGGGCCAAATTCTGCTTCCATTTAGCCACTCAAACCTCTACTGATACATTTATAAGGTACACTGAGAAAAGTGACATCCCTGCAAGAGTTCTCATTATGACTTTCATGGAAAATTATTCTGAAGACTACAGCTCTTGTGTCCCCCTTCTTCCTCAGCAGCATTAGAATTCAAAATTATATTCTGTAGGAACTTGCAGCAACATGATCCCAAAATGGCCCTGCAGAAAGGCTCTGTGATGGTTGTGGGTCACAAGTTGATTATGGTTCAGACCATGTGGCTGTTGAGAAGGATGGTGTTGTCACACTGGAACTTATGAAGAAATGTATATCTCCCCAGTTCATCAAAGTCTTCCGTCAAGAGAAAAAGAATAAACTGTTGTCCCCGTCCTCCTTAGGAAAAAGGAGAGTAGAACAAAAAAGGGATGGTGGATAGAACAGAAGTAATGGGCTTCAACTGCAGCAAGGAAGATTCAGGATCCACATGAGGAAAACTTATAAGCAATAACGATGGATCTGGTTTGCCTGCCTGGAGATTGTGGCATCTGCAACACTGGAGAACTTTAAGAAAAGATTAGACAAACACCTCTGAGGAGTAGCATCTGTAAAGCTGATCTTGCTTTATGCTAGGGAAGGACTACAGGGCAGCTTGATATCTTTTTTCAGCCATCTGATTTTGACTCAGTGGTTTGTCTTCATAGTAGAGATTAAAGTTTTTTCCACTTTTTTTTTTTTTTAAACATAGAGAACTTCATCTTTTCCAATAAGTATAAATATAAAGGTTTTATTTAGTTCTTCCTCAGCTGATTTATGTAATAAGTATTAAACAGATTGACTCTTTGCATTTGAGTCACAGTCAGTTTTCCAAACATGTTTCATGAAGATTTTTTTTCTGTTTTTAGGTAATGGAGACAAACCAGAAAAGCCACACTTTGATTCTCGTAGTCTTATCTTTGAATTAGACCCATGCAGTGGGAATGGCAAAGTTTGTCTTGTTTATAAGCACACTAAACCAGGTAAGACAGAAAAGAGCAAAGTTAGCTATCTCTTCTTCTGGATTGTATCTACAGGCCATATGTGTAGAATCATCTTACATTTCTGATCTTTCCTGCTGTTTGTAGATGAACATTTACTGGGATGTCCTGTCTCTACTGAAGTCAGGGGCTAAACCTTACAGAGACTTAACTAGAGCTAACATTTTCCCTCCTTTTAATGTTGGAGTCTGAGTTATAACTTATGATTTCTGCATGCATAGAAACAGGAAAGCATTCACATATGACCTACAGACAATCATGTTGAAATAGTACAGAGAGCCAGAGCTCAGCCGCTAACATGTCTCTGGTTACTTGCACATCTCGGAACAATTCCATTACATTTTGATAACAAAGGCTATAGCTCTTCTAAGAAGCAAAGGGCAGATGGTAAAAAGGTTCTTAGCTGATTAAGACAGACTTAGACTGGTTCTTCCACCTTGTACATGGATGCAGAGCCTCCAGTTGCTACCTAGTTCAAAATTTGGCAGGAAGGGTTGAACAGGAGAGTGAAAGATGTGAGCTGAGCTGTTTCTTAATGATACACAGAAAACTGTTATCAGCCTGTGATTAGTGAAACACCCAAGTCACTTGTAGTTATCATCTGGCACAGTGCACAGGTCACTAAGTGTATGTGTATATGTGTATGTTCACTGTGAGGAGGTGTGCAATTGTGATATACCTGTTCTTAAGAAAACTCTTTTGTTGTTCTCGTTTGTCTTTCATTGGGTGTGACTACAACTCCTAAGGCAGAAACTTCTTACTTGTCCTCTTGCCTTCCAGATTAATGATTTCAGCACAGGCAGTGGATAAACTGGTCAACGGGAGGGAACATTGTGGAGTACCTTGTGTTAAGTTAACAATGTTCAGCATCTCAATTTCCCAAGTAAAATCACTTCTTTTTATACTACAAAGGATGTCGCCATCAGAGAAATATTTGATTACTGGGAAAAGATTTTGCAAAATGTGTTTTTGTTGGCAGCGCACACTCCCATGACTTCCAGACTCTGGACTCTATTCAGTAATCCAGATGACTGACATTTGAGTTAGTTGCTTTTTACTTTGGGGGGCAGATAAATGTTTGCCATAATTGTACTTTGAACATACACTACAAAGTTGCTGATGTCCAAGCATGTTCCATGTAGCGCATCAGTCCCAGGTTGGGAAGGAATAGCATTGCATCCATTTAAAATGGAAAAAGTGAGTATAGTGGCTGTTGCACAAGTTTTTTTAGTAAGGCTGGGAGCAGAACCAAGTCCTTTTCAGTCCCCATGCTCTAATGATTAAACCACATTGCCTCTGGATAATCATCTATGTCAGTCAGGGATGCTGCATTTTAGAAGCTGCAGCCTTTCTGATAAGTATGTTGTGTCTCCCACCTGACAATGGCCAAAGGTTGATCTTACCACAGCAAAGCAACAGTGTAGTTTGTTTCTGGTTTTGTTTTTTTTTTTGTTTTTTTTTTTCCTAGTTGTCTCCTCAGACACAGAGATATGGTTCCTGGACAGAGCTCTGTATTGGCATTTCCTCACCAAAACCTTCACAGCCTACTACCGCCTGCTCATTACTCACCTGGGTCTCCCACAGTGGCAGTACGCCTTCACCAGCTATGGGGTCAGCCCCCAGGCCAAGGTAGGACAGCAAGATCCAACTCATCAGTATTTGGCATAAGTATAGACTGGAAAAACATCTTCCCACCTTTTGGCAAGCAGTCTGTAGGCTCAAGTGGGCCTCCCTAGTGAGCTATGGAAGGGGCCGTGAGACTTTAGCATGTTAACAGTCATTTGTTTATGTTAGTGAATTCACTAACATTGTGTTGACCTTGTTTTTCTCAGCCAAGTTAGGCTCTTCCTTGAACTCTATTAGTAGGTGGTGAAACCTCAATTATTTCTTTGCTTTCTTGACTCTGAAGCAATCCTCCACTTCCATGACTGCTGGCAAGTGAGGAGATGTAAAGCCATTCATCCCACCAGCTACGTAAGATTTGTCTAGATCAGTTTTCTGGGCTTCGCACTGAACAAGAGTCTCCTGCTCTCTGGGTGGAAAGTCCAGGTACACATTAGACAGAAGCCCAGAGGAAGACTACAAGCTTGAGCCTTGCCAAGAATATTAATTTCTTTGCATCATCCTCAGTCATGCAGGGTTGCCTTGATAAAAATGATGCCCTAGAATGGGCAATTTAAATGCCAGCAGTCCTAGAATTAGTTATAGGAGAGCCCCAGGTACAGTCTTGTGACCATTCCAACCCCTTATTATTAAAATTGCTATTCTACTCTGTCAGAACCCTGCTATTAGAGGCTCCCACCATTCCTCTGTGTTTGACTGGGCCTTCAGCCCTAACCCTACTTCCAGCTTATGCACAGTCAGGGAATGGATCTGACAATACTACCAAACACAGCACTTGGGGTTGTTCAGCCTGGAGAATTCTCTGGGGAGACCTTATAGTGGCCTTCCAGTACCTAAAGTGGGGCTACAGGAGAGGTGGAGAGGGATTTTTTACAAGGGCATATAGGGGGTACAAGGACATGCGGTAATGGCTTTAAACTGAAATAGAATAGATTTGTATTAGATATAAGGAAGAAATTCTTCCCTGTGCGGGGGGTGAGGCGCTGGCACAGGTTGCCCAGAGCAGCTGTGGCTGCCCCCTCCCTGGAAGGGTTCAAGGCCAGATTGGACAAAGCTTTAAACAACCTGGTCTAATGGAAGGTGTCCCAGTCCATGGCAGAGGGGCTGTAACTAGGTGATCTTTAAGTTCCCTTCCAACCCAAACTGGTCTGTGATTCTGTGATAAGCCTGTACAATACCAATGCATGTTGGCAAAGTGTGACAGGTCTGTGTATCAGCATGGCATTCACTGGTCCTGCCTCAGCCCTGCGCGTACATCAAAACTACTCACTATAATCACTGCCAATTTCTCATCTATAGATGTCCGTAGAATTAGGTTCTTTGTATATCTGGTGTCCTCCCTGTTATACCGTACTCTGTCAGTCAAGGCTGTGTACATGGTACTGTACCATATGCCCGTGCTCTGCCTTTCTGTAACTTTCCTACTAGAATATTTTATTATGTTCATTATATTCACAAGCCTTAGTGAAATCATTCATGTATTCCCTAATCATTTGCAGCCTCTGTTAGTTAAAATCCTCCTAGTATGTTAACCATTATCATTTTTAAAGGTGGTATATTAAAGCTGTTTTCCATTAAGCAGTACATGAATAGATTACCATCTATATTTTGATATTGGTTTTTTGTATATCATGTTCAACAGTTTACTGATGGTTTTAGTGGGATTTGTAATACCATAACCACTACAGTTTTATTTCCTGACTTTGTCAATGGAAAACTGATAGGAAAAACACTAAGAGATGAAAACTGCTGGGCATAGCATTGTAGTGACATCTGGGAACCTAAAAAAAAATTGTTGTGGTCACTTCTAGATGTAAAGTCAGGCCAAAGAGAAACAAACACAAAATCCTTTGTGTAAAAAGTTAAAAAACGTGCATTATTGTATGTGTGAAGAGAGGGAGGGAGGCTGTATTTTGAGAACTTCAACTAGGTTGCTTCCAATTTATAAGCACTTTTAAATTCCAAGGTTTTTTAATCTTTTCTGCTTCTCTGAATCTAAATAGATGTGGTTTAGTTTCATCCCCTCCCTTTGCCTTTCCTCCTGTGGTTTAAATCAGAAGTTGCTCCTGATAGGAGTTACACTGCAGGAAAGATAGTGTTAGGTTTGTGTCTGGTTCTCCTCTTCCCTGTCTGGAATGTGGGGCAGTTCCAGGGCTGTAGCATAGCTGTGCCTTGTGTATCCTTATCACAAGGCACTCTGCACAGTCCTGTAAACTGCAAACTGATAAGTGGTGTATGATTAAAATCAGGTCTTGGGTGAGGGGCAACAGGGTGGAAATGTCTAATTGCAGTTTGATTTTAACCTCTTCCTTCCCCCTCATCCTGCCTTTCAGCAATGGTTTAACATGTATAAACCCATAACTATCAACACGGCTCTCCTCTCTGAAGAAGCTGATTCCTTTGTGAACAAGCTGGACCCCAATAAGGTATTTAAAAGCAAGAACAAAACTCCAGTGATCAAAAAGAAACAACCCTCCCAGCCAACAGGATCCCAAAAGAGTCATACAAGCATGACCTCCTCCAAGACATCTTCACTAGCTGGGAATTCAAGGAAGTGAGAACCCCAGATCTGACCCTGGACAGCACTTGCAATAAGCTTTGATGTTCTCTGATGTAGAGTCTCAGTGGTTCAGACCAAATTCCTTGTGCATGAATAGATGTGCCCATGGAAGACACATTGCAGCATTTGCATGAAATATAACCACAATGTACTTTGACATGGGGGGGATGTAGTTCCTGGACACTGAGAAAAAAAAACTTGAGACATTGATTTTATTCCCTTCTGCTACCTGAAGCATGTACTTTTCAGAGGACATGAAGAATCCCTTGATGTCACTGCTCTGTAGGGAAGCTTTTGTTCCTGTGCAGCTACAGCACTGAAATGAAAGCAAATGTAAGTCACCATTATTTTAATAGACCCATGCTGAAATACAGCATATGAAGATATTTCTGCCATCTCCTTTGAAAGAAACCTGTCCTGACCTTGCATGCTAAGGGAGCTGCCTGGAACAAAGAAATATCTTCTGCTTAGTCAGAATCAAATTCCACACCTCCCTGTGCTCCTTCCAACATCCGCTCTGCAACTCATGATGTAAAGGGACCAGGAGCTTCCATGTCTGTGCACTGACCTAGTCGCTTGCTCTACAGCCCAGACCACTTTTAGGCCTTTGTGCCATATCTTTTTGGATAGTGATGTCTCTGTGATGTCTTTCTCAGTAAGCCTGAAGGCAGGCAGAAGCTGCAAGATTCTCCAGTGCCACTGCTTTCTCCTCTTGTGGGAGCTGCTGAGCCAGGGCAGGTCAGTGTTGTTAAGAGTAAGAGTCCCTTAAGCAAGGAGGACCCTTGGTTTGTCATGCAGTCATTTGCAAAGTTTGACCATTCAAACAGCCTTTGTCACTTTTCAATTGGGCAGGATCTGACCAGGGGCCGATGAGATCCTACAGCCTTAGAAGCCCCTGATGCTGTTTTCTATACTGTAAGTTTTCAGGTTAGAACTGCACTTTAACCCATTTACTGCTGGTTTTCAGTTACATCTGATTGTTTCCATTACTTTTCTATAACATTCTGTCTTCTAGGTGTGCTGGAAACACATGGTAGCACCCATACATTTTGTGCCTAAACTGGAAAATCAAAGTCACAATCTTCAAATAAACATTGATTATTTAAACAGCATCATCTTTTATTTATGAAACATAATTACATAAGACAAGCCTACCTCACAGGGATGTTGTGAGGCTTTCATGAGTGTTTGTATGGCATTGAGAAAGATGAAGCCACCCTGTAAGTGCTTAATAGTATTTTAATAAAGATTGTAATATTTTCTTCCAGAGCAATTGGATATTTGAAGGTGATTTTGGGAACAGATACATAAGGTTGCATGGTAAGAGCAGGGTGCAGGCTGGATTGTTTGGGTTTTTTTTTAATGCAGTAGAGAATCTCTATGGAGAAAGGATGGGTTACAGTGTCTTTTATATAATCCCATCATGAGCTATTCTAAAGTTCCCAGTTAAGTTCACATAGACCAGAAGACTCAGCTGTATCACTTCTGTCCTGCACTCACTGTTCAGAATCTCTGCAGCCATCAGTCCCAGCTCTGGCATGCTTTGCTGGCTTCCAGCACTGCCCAGGGCCCACCCTCCAGCACAGCTGCATTGCTTGGCATCAGCCCTCTGCCACCACCAAATGAGAGAAAATACTCTAATACTCTTCAGCCCTCTTAAGCCAATGTGCGTCTTGTGCCGAGTGAAGATCTGCTGTAGCTGCTCTATTAATATAGGTCAGCTCTAATGAAGAAGCAGCGATGTCATTACATGCCACCCCATCCCATGCCACAGTAATACATTAGTAATCCTTTTAATAGCAAAATGTGAATGATCATTAAAGACAGTAAATGCCATTTTCTATGTAATTCTGTGCAGTAGTGATGTTCTGTCACTTCCTATTATTGGATATCCCCGTGTTGTGTGTTCATGGTACCCAGCCCTAGGACTGCAGTCACATGCTTGACATACATATCGTACTTGCATAAGTACTTTCCAGAAAAGTTAAGGTGGTTGTCACCCCCTTGGGAACAGGCACCTTCTGATACTGTTTTACTTTTAATCCAATGATATCTCAAACTTGTGAGGCTGTTGCAGGCCCACTTCCTTATTTGGATGGAGGTGGCAGAATTCCTGCAGGAGGGCAGCCTCTTCCCACATTCCTCATGGATTCAGAGTGGAGAAAAGGGGGTTGTGTTTTGGTTTTTTTTTTTTGTTTGAGCATTTGGGGATGGTGCCATGGAAGTTGTCTGAATCCTTTCATACGGTGGTAGTTAAAGTCTAGCCTGTCAGTTACACACATGTTTCCATAATGCCAATGTGTTCCAGCAGAGCCGTACCAGAGTTCAGGATACCCTGCGGGTTAGTTTACTAATGTTTTGGTGTTTCCTGAATGTTCAGATCAAAAAGCAAAAAACAAAACCAAGCATAAAGAAAAAAAAAAAAAAAAAAAAACAACAAACAGGTTCAGGTTTCTATTTTGGACTGTACTTGCTCTTCTCTATTCTGTACTCTGCCAAACAAGGCATTTGTTAGGGTGGCAGATTAGCAAATGGAAACAAGCCTAGGCCCTTTTCCATCAGTGTAGTATCTACCTCTTACCGAAAAATTTTTTAGGTTAAATTTTTTTTAATTAATTAAGTTGTTTCTGCTACTATTGGATCCTGTATTTTGATTTCTGTGAACATCCAGGTGTCTGGAGTCTTGCAGCTCCACTTTACTTTTATCCAGAGTGTGATGATTTTTGTGTGTGTGTGTGTATGTGTGTGTGTGTATTTTTACACAGGGAGACTGAATAATATCTTTGGGTTACAGAGAGGTCTGGCCCTACCCAGGTCTGTCCAGTGTCACAGAGACCTGGTTTGTCTGGTAAAACAGCGTAGGTTTACTGAAGACGAGTACCTCATTTCTCCACCTGCAGGGTGGAGAAACAGTGTGCTCCAGCAGCACCATTGCGTGTACCCTTATCCACTTGGTTACCCTTTGGCTGTCAGTCCATACTAGGCTTTGCCGTTGGGCCCTTTCCTGTGATGGCACGTGTCCATCACAGCGTAGAAGTCTCCACCACTGGATGTCCTTTCTCATTTCCGCTTTCCGGGACAGGTTGGTTGTGAAAATCAATGAAGAGTTTGTGGATTAAAACACCAGCAAGACTTCCCAGAACTGGAGCTGTGAGTGGGATCCACCACCAGTAATGCCCAGCCCTAAAATGAAACACAGAGGAGTCGGACGGCGAGCCAGACGAACTCCTGCCCTGCTGCCGCATGGCTCAGGGTGAGTTGAGCTGAGTCTGCTAGGACAGGAGTGAGCTGTGTGAGCAGAGGTGTCTAGTCCCACTTCACATACGGGGCCCTACAACTGTCTTAGGCAAATTCTCTATCCACCAGCATAATTGCTGGAGGGAGGGTCATTTTTCCCCTCAGCCTGGGAAAGTGACTGTGCACTGTCTGCAGGTCTCTTGCTCTACTGAAATAGCCTGTATGATCCTGATGAGTGTGACTGTCAAACAGACACACACACACGCACACACGTTTTCCCTCCCCATTTCCAGTAACATCTGCACCTGCTCTACCAAGCTCTCGAAGATATTTTCTGGAAATGTAATGAAAATGGGCAGCTGGGACAAGAGACTCTGCTAATGCCCTCACCATGAAAAAAGCCATAGCATGGCACCATCTTATTAGATAGGGCAAGGCAGGGTTTCATTTCCAGATTCAGACATCTAAATTTAGGAGAGCTATTCAGCAATCCAGCTGTTAAGTAGCTGCTCTCAGGTGGGTGAATCACTCTCTAGCTCTTCGGTCACTGCAGTAACCAGCTGGATCTCCAGCTAACAGCCAATCTGGTGCCCGAATTGAGGTATCTGAATGTCAAGATTAATCCCATGCTGGAGAATTTGTGTACCCCAAATTTTGTGTACATAGTGCACAAGGGCTCCTTTATGCACATACAATGCCTTTCTCTCTGAGAATGGAGAACTCTCTGCAGTGACATCACCACTTGGTACAAAGGAAAACGCTTCATGACTATTTTATCTTGGGCTTAGCTCCTCTCCCTGATACCTGAGCAGTGTAAAAGCAAAATGAATAACTCACGTGAAGACATCCATTCCCCAGCCAGCCATTGCCGTGAAGACCCTGGGGGGCAGGTCCCGGGAGGGGTTTATGGCGTAGCCTGTGTTCATCCCCATCCCCAGGCCGATGCCCAGGACCAGGATACCCGTGAGCAGGGCCTGTGTGCCTTTCAGGGCTCCGTTGTTTTTCTCATCGTGAATGATCAGAATGCCCAGGAGCAGCATCACTGTTGCTGTAAACTGCAGGAGCAGGAAAGAGAGAACAGGTCAGGGGAGAGAATGGTGAAGGCAGAAGGATCCTGCTCAGCAGAGAGGAAGAGACTTCCCAGAATGGAAGAGCAGGTAGGATTCAAATTCTGATAAATCAGGGAGGACCCCAATGTTATTCCCTTCTCACAGGTGGACTGTAGAAAATTCTTGACTCATTTCCCAGCAAAAACGTCTCCATCTCATGACTAAAAATGCTCTAGGACTGATGTGAAATTCTCATTACAGTCCTCTCCCCCTACTTTTCAAGTTAGGGACATGGGTTATTTTAAATACATTTCATCTAACAGAGGCAGAGGGGTAACAAACTGCTAACAAGACAAATCTGATCCTCCCTAGAGGGAGAGATGTTCTATATAGGCTGTTGCGTTAGCCATTTCAGGACTAAAAGCAGATACCAAATTCTCATCTGGGAAAATGAATCGCCCATCTGTGACGGTACATAGCTGGCATTTATAGATCTGCAGTTCCCAAGACATGAGGAGCTGTGGTTTGAATAGAGGTGATGACTCCCGTTTCTTCCTGCTTCAGAAAACGCAGCTAAAGAGCCTCGGACTGCCTGCAGAGGTGCCAGCAAAAGCAGAAACTCTGCAGCTGTTGGCATCGCACTGTCACTGTCATTTGCTTTTTTCTGCAGCAAGGACACTGCATGCTCCACAGGAGGCTGAGTGATCAGGTCATCTGTAGGCTCACCCTCCTCGTCATCATGCCAAGGCAAGAGTTTTGTCAGCTCAGAGACTAGAGCACAGGCTTCCTCAGATTTGAATTGGAAGTGAACCTTCCTCCTTCAGTGTCCCAGTGCTCCATGTCGCCTGAAGCATTCCCTTCCTATTTCTGGACATCTGGACACTGTGTTTTGTGCTGGAAATCAACTGTACACAGTCTAAATTGGACTGTTCAAACCGTAGAGGTTCAATCCAGACAGGCTGTGTTCACATGAAGACAGTCCCAGGTCATCAGTGCCAGTGAGGGGCAGACAGCAGAGCTGCCTGGAAGTATGGGACGGGTGCAGGATGCAAAAAGGGAAAAAAACAGTTCAGGGAACTTCCTAGACCCCAAAGGAGATGTTTCCTGATACAGCTCAGCTTCTCACTTCCCACTGCTTGGGCTGCATGCAAGGAAGGTGTTTGTTGAGCACTCGAACCAAGCTTCAGAGCAGCAAACATTACCTCTCTGGTTTGCTTAGCCATCAGGGTGGCTTGGATCCTGTCTATCAGGCACCTGCCTGGATGGTGTGCTCCTTGGAGTAGTGTCTGTGATAGTGTCTGCACATGTAGCACTGCAAGTCCTCTGTAGCAGACCTGCAGTATCACCCATTGCCACCCACCTTCTCCCAGCACACCACAGTGGTCACCACTGACCTCTGTGAAGAAGCTCCCCAGGAAGGATACGTAGGGAGCAGGGTAAGTGGCAAAGATTGACGCTGTGGCAGTTGGTCCTGTCACTGTAAAGTTCCCTTTGGTGTAGTCATACAGAGCATCTAGGAGAAATGGGAATTACAGGAGTTAGCACAGAGTTCATCACATGTGGCACGTACTCAAGTCCAAACGTTGCAGCCAGCATGGACACCCAATGGGAAGAGGTGCAATGGGAGTTATCATGGGGGTGACACTGCCCTCACAGGACATGATCTCACCAATATCTGTTACCCACAGACTTTGGTCTGCAGATGCTTCCTTATGCCTACCAGCTCCCTGTCCCTGCTCCAGGAGCCTGGGGCAGACTGGATGCTCTGGATACGCTGGAGGCCTCCATCCCTCTGGCCCTCAGAGACTGAAACATGCTGGAGCCAATGGGTAATGTGTCCTCTGCTCACAACTCAAAACAACAGATGACTGCTGCTCAGTTTTCTACAGACCAGCAGAGTCCCCCAGAGCTCTAGCTGTACCTAATACACAGTAGTCCACCTAACTCAAAGCCCTGGCAGACTCCGGAAACAAAAAGTTGACAAAATGCAGCTACTGGCCTTGAGTTGAGGACAGGTTTTGGCAGTGGGAATGCCCTGAGCAAAAGGAACTGTGTTCTCCAGGAACTGCATACCCTTCCCAGAGATATCTGGTCCCTGTTCTGGCCTTGAGCTATAAAGGTCTGTCCCTCAAGCCAGGAGCTCACCCTCCTCACCTAGACATCATGCTGGGTACTGTGAAAGGAGGTGGTTTTGGCAAACTGTGAGTTAAGGCTGAAAATGTGCCCATAACAACCATGGTGATAAGAGATACAACCATACCATAATAGAGGCCAAAGACGGTAGCTGCTGCCATAAAGGAGCCCAGGAACTGGCCGATCACATAAGCTGGGAGCTTTCTCCAGGGGAGGTTTCCTAAAATGCAGTGTGTGAGGGTGATGGCAGCATTCAGATGCGCTCCTGCAAAAACACAGCAAAAGAGAGTGGACTCAGCCCTGATGCAGCTGTTTTGGATCATGCCGCACACCCCACAGTAATATCCCAGACCTTGCTCCAGAACACCAGACTCTCTCGGGACAGGGTTTCCCGCCTGCACAGGCTCAAAACTGACCCGTTTTCCCTGGGAAACTGAACGAAACAGGGCAGAGAGCTCCTAGCTTTCATCTTTTAAAAATTCTGTAGATCACAGGCTGCCTCCAGAGAGCGGGTCATCTCACCTGTCAGAGATACCTCTCTTGGCATGGCATAAGTCTCCCTCTGTATGGGCTTCACTCTATTCAGCTTAAAGGGATCCCAGAACTTAAACTCATCACCTACCTTTTGTATGGTTACAAGTAGATGAGGCAAATCTTATCCCAAACAATCACAAGGCCTTCTGAAAACATGTGATAGACAAGGAGGGCCTCATCCTGGCAGAGCTGAACACCCCAGCTAATGGGAGCTGTGGGCCCTTAGCACATCTGTCAGGCAAGGCATGAGACACTAGGGAAGCAAACTGCAAAATCAACCACTGATGCCCCATATTTTCATGTCCACAAAGAAAATCCTACAGCAGGCTGTCAACAGGGACTCAAATTAGCTCATAAATGTCACTGAATTTAGAAAGGGTTACCAGGATAGTCAGTCATGTCCAGACCATGGTTGCTCCCACTAGTGTAGAGCAGACCTTGTCCTTCCCTTGCAGAGTTTATCATCTTGGTCTGCATTTCCTTACACCTCTTAGGATGTGGCTTTCATACACTGCAAGTCCAGTTTTCTCAGTTTTGAGGGGATATTGTCTATGGAGGAGGTTGGTATCACAATGGTGCTTTTGGAAAAAGACTAAGTGGATCCAGATTTGGTGCCATCAGTGCAAACCACGTTTTTCTTCATGTCTCATCTCCCCATGAGTCCAAAGGAAATGCTTACTTTTCCTGCCTAAGAGGTATAAACTTTGTGGGTGAATAAATGATCCAACCATAGCAGCCATCTCCTACTCCAGACTCAAAAAGGAGTAGGGTGCAGACGCACATCATCTCATCAAAGTGCAGTACAGAGTGAAATGAAAGGGCATGTACTGCCTGCTACAGTCCCACAACCACAACTGAAATGGGGTGAAATCCCTTTTCCTTTGATCCTCTGATCCTGTGACCAACCATTTCAGAGATCACAAGAAGCATCTTGTGACACAAATGAAGCCAAATTACAATACCAGGAAACCCTGAAGCTGGCTCCGGAACCAGACTGTTTCTGACTGAGCTGAGGCCCCTTCTCCCACCTACCAGCCTTCAGCAGATCAGCTCCATCTTAAATATCATCTGGACTGCAGGAACCTACTTTCCTCAGCCTACTTTCTCCAGGATGTCTCCACCAGCTCCAAAAGGACAGAGAGACCAAGATCTTACTTCTCACATGGAAAAATTTTCCTTTCCAAGACAGCCTCAGACTTGGACATCTGTCTGTTCCAACAGTTCAAGAGAAAGGACTTGCTCTAATTTTCTGCCCACTAGAGCCCTTAATCTCTTCTCTTGGTGCAAATGAATGTAGAAATTGCACAAGGCAAAGGTAATGCTCTGTCATGTGAGAGATACTACCCCATGGCCCTGAAACACCACCTCCTGCATTCACATGGGCATGTGTGCATGGGTGTGGATGATAAGGAGAAAATTTGCATACCATTCCTTGTTGCAACATCAGCAGTAAGCTCTCCTTTGCAATAAATTATTTACTTCCCCATGGGTCATATCAGCAGCGTGTTTTCAGAGCTCTTTGTCTCTTTGTGCCATGATGACATATCCCACATGCCTAATGGGGGAACTGATGAAACCTGGCTCCTCTGACCATAACAGGAGGTGATGGATGAACCTCCACCACTCTCCCTGCCCCACTTTCTCCTCTCTCAGCTCAGGACACGTGCTTGGGGTCAGCACACAGTATGTATGCTATGCCTGCCTTGTCCCCTGCTTCTCTTGACCTCACTGCACCATCACGACGCCTCAGCTTGACCTCAGACCTGCCTCCCCCCTGCAGACTTGGCTGTGATGGGTCACAAGGGTGACCCTGGTAACAGTCACCATTCCTGCTCTGCAATTCTTGCTTGAGGACCCTAGGGCTGCCTTTTTTTTCTGGTGAGGGCACTGCTTCTCCTTGCAATGCCATCACCTACCTCTCCGCAGAGCACTCCTGCTGCCCTCGATGCATGTGGCCTTTACAGGACATAGAGAAGTCCCATGCTCAAGTGCCCTGCTCACCAGAGATTCCTCCAGCCGCATGGATGCCCAAGGTAACACCAATGCCAAATCCCAAATTGATGCTCAGATGCTGACCAAAGCCTCCTCTTCCTAATACCACTTGTGCCACAGAAGACAAGCCAAAGACCTGGTGCATGGAAAAATAAAAAGATAATGTTAAAAGCAGTGTTATTGCTGTGGTGGGCTGAGCTTCTTTGCTACTTTTTCTGCAATAAAATCCTCAATACAGGAGGACTTTAAGGTGCCCATGGTCAGGAGATTAAGAAAGAATGACCCTCCCCTGCAAAAATTGAAGTGGTATCTGCGTTATTCCTCATTGGTGCCCATCGCACCAAACCAGCAACTGGTTGGGTATGGGGAGACAAACCACAAACATTCACACCGAGATCCAGGGCTCAGGAGGAATCACAGTCACAGCCACAGTAAGGGCATCTATGCCTGAAACCAGGACATGAGCCAAGGGAGCATCACCACAGACCACCTAGAGACAGCACCCAAGATGAACAAGAAGGTGGGCAGATTCTTGTTGTACTTCTTTTCCTGGTTTGCAATTTATTGACTAAAAACATAGTTAGGGCAGCACACAGCAAGTTGCCAAACTCGACTCTAATTTTGGTAACTTATTCCAGCAAAAATCAAGGAAGGAAATTCTGGTTTGACTTTTCCTTTCAACATAGATACTTTCAATTTAGAACAGCCAAAATTTCAGTATTTTTTTAGTGACTAAAGGGAAATGAGGAAAAAAAATAGGAAGAAAAGTAAACACTCTCCAGCAGGAAAAGACTTATTCAAGAAATTGCTGTGACCTGAAAGGAAATTCAATTTCACTTTTTTAATGTGGTCAGAGGGTGGAAAAATCAGTTCTTTACACAGATCTTACACTGAAATTTGGAGAACAACAAAATTTCTCTTGAAGGCTCTGCCTCACAAACCACTTAGGGTTTGGAGAGAGTGTCCTGTTCCTTGGACTGCACCGATGTTTATTCAGGGTGACATGTCCCTCCAAGACAAAAAAGTCAATATGTTCTCCAGCATCTAAACTTCTGCTCTGGTCTGTTCTGTTTTGACTGTGATCCTTTCTGGCTACTCTGGCTGGCTCCAAATTTTATCTCATGCATCTGCTCCCCCTCTTCCCTTTCAGACATCACCAAAATCCCCTGATCCCCAGGGACACTGTTCTTATCTCTCTCATGTACACAGACCACACGCTGTGTTCTGCATGGAGCTACAGCCTCCAGAGTTTGAGCCCTTCTCAATCTGCCTCAGCAAAAGCCTCAAAAAGCAGTGTTTGGGATGTCCCCCAGCGTCTGCAAAGCCCTTACAAAAACTCTGCCTACTCATCTCTGACTTTTCCAAAGCCACATCCAAGCAAAGACAATTGCATAAGGCATAGGTTTTGCAGGACAGCAGAGAGAGAGGTGCAGGGCAGGAGACATAGTTGTTGCAGCTGAACACCAGTATCCTGAAAAAAACACAGGACAGGCCACAGAATCTATTTTTCAGCACAGATCCAAACATCTGATTTCTTCTTCTATTCTCACAGTCACAAAATATCCTTATTTTTTTCCCTATATCCCTCCTCCTTGTGCTGTTTATTCCTGCTGCCTGGTTCCCTCCTTTACGAATATTGCCTGTCCATTAAATCAAGAGGCCCTAGACTGAATACTGTTGTCCAAATAACAGCCATCTGGGCATCCTGGAGATGCATCCAGCACCATTCCCTGTTGCACTGAGGGCCAGTGGATGCTGAAGATTTGGATGCTGGATGCTATGTTCCGATGCTGGATGCTGTTTGTTGCCAGCCCTTGATGGGGGTCCATATGCAGTGTCCCTCCTCCTACTCTATTCCCTCGTGGGTATCAGTGAGGAAAGAATCAGTGGGAGCTGCAGGATCCAAAACTCTCCTTGGACTGTCAGAGTGTAGGGAAAAGTTTCCTCCTCGTGCTGCTTCCCACAGTCCTGGCAGGACACCCCTGAACTTGTACTTATCACCTGGGAACTTCCACCACCAAAAAACAAAGGGGATGGAAAAGGAAGATGGTTTGCGCAGCACCTGCTGAGGAGTCCCAGATGTCTGTACTCTGACTTCCAATGCATGCAGAACTACTTGTGCAGTAGGAGTGAACTTCAAGGAGTTAGATGTGCAATAAGATGTGATAAAAAGCAAGCATCCTTTGTAAATATAGTTGTTGCCCTTGCAAATAAGCACGTTTATCAGTACAGACAGCTATGTGAAAAGGTCCCCATGATTACACATATATTCCTCCTGTTCAAATCTTCAAGTGCAAGTTATTTGGGTCAACCCCAGCCCTTCCATTCTGGCTTCTGTCCAGTCCAAAGTGTCTCAGCTCAGGCTAAGCCCATGTGTAGTGAGTTGGCAGAGATGGGTACTGGATGTTTTCAGAGGGAGGATCTTGTTTTGCTGTTGGTCCAACATAGAAAGGCTCTGGTCCTGGTGGGCACCTCACCCCCACCAGAGATCAATTCTGACTGAAAATCCTTCCTCACCCTCTCTCCAAACACCTCCAAAGCAGCTAGAGAACAAGAAACCACTTCGCTTTTTCTGTATAAAACAGATCCCTCAGACAAGGGGGGACTTTCTGTATGATTTGGGTAAGCACTATTCATTTGCCAGTGTAGTAAAACCAAAAGCAAAATCCTGGCATTATTTATACCCAGTGATTACATTTCCTAATGGTGGGTTGTGGCTCCGGAGAGTTTCACAGGTGTTCGTTACCTCTGGCAACCCCAGGAGGAAAAGCCTTAATTCACTGCAAGAGATCTTTCAGGGGGTTTGGCAAAAGTATTGCATTGTCCCATCTGACCAGACACTGCTCTTTGATTTCATTCCCAGGCTCCTCCTCATTTTTCTCCTAGAAAAGAACTGATACAGCAGCTCATCCCCACCTGCTCACCCTCTCCCAGTGCCCACCTCCCACCCCTCACGTTTCTTTTTTCCTCCATAAGGTTTTTGACAGATGGTCTACCTGATGGGTAGCTGCTGCTGCATCATAGCGGAGGGGTGAGCAGTAGCAACTATCTGCTGAGCATCCCTGAGGTTGTGGTTGGAAACCACTGACCTTACAAATTGCTGCTGCAAATGCTTACCCTCTCACCCGCCCTGCACACACACGCGCACACATGCACAGACACACATATCTGGGCCCATCTCCTCCTTACCATGAGGATGAACATCCCCAGTGCTTCTGCCAGCAGCTCCCTGATGGTGCTGCTACGAATGGTGAGCGCCTTCTGAATCTTCTCCAGCATTTTGCTCTCTGGATCCAGCCTGTAGTTGCAGGAGCTCCTGTTGTGACAGCACACTTCATTGCATTGAGCTAAGTTACCCTTTGAAACTTGGCACCCTCCCTTCACCCTCAGACACCTTCATTCATTTGGTTAACGATGAACAAATCAATAAACTAGTGGTTAGCTTCAAAGTCTTCCCACACACACATGCCTTGCTTTTAAAACTGTATGGTAAGGCTGCAGTATTTCTGGTACCGGAGCATTGCAAACAATACGCCTCTGCCCAGGAGCAGCCTATCTCCAGAGTGGTGGAGCTGTAAATAACCTTGGTGTGTTCTTAAGGCCTCTGTCTTTCTCCATAATCTTTCCACAGAAAATGAACATGAATTTTGTCTCTGCTCTGTGTTGTAACCCACTGTCTGGTGGTTTGGTGTCATTTTTTTTAACAGGTGCGATTAGGACCATTGCCTGTGCTTTGCAGGACTATTTGGATGCCCAGCCTGCAGTGAGGATGCTCTGCCTGGAGCTGGTGTACACCACTGTCTGTAGCTGGGAAGAGAGCAATACCTTGAGCATTGCTTCAGATGGAGTATTTTGCTCTTGCTGAATGCTCTTGTGTCTGCAGCTCTCCCATCAAACTAGTGAAGAGCCTCCCTGCCACCCCCCGGGTCTGTCCTCTCATGTGGGGCAAGGACAGACCAGTCTCAGCAATGGTTCCCAGAGACCTTCAATCTCATCTGGCTGCCAGATCAGATCCCTCACTGTCCTGATTCCTCCTCCATCTCCTGATACCCTCTGCTTATCTCCCTGCTCACCAGATGCTCTTGCCTCTCCACTGTGAAAAGGTTTTAATACCCTTGCTGAAAAACTTGAACCCACTGAACACTCAAGACCTTTTTCTGTGAGCTTTGTCTGGTTCTTTGCTGGTTTTCTTCAGCTTCCTCTCAACCTGCTGCAGCTTCTCAGTGTGGCTCTGGAAGGGTCATGGTGCACAGCTCTTGGGGGTATTACCAGCAGCTGCCCTAATGGGGACGTAGCGCTCTGCTCGTGCTGACCTGCTGTGGCCTTCCCCTGCAACACTGCGTTGCCAAAGTTCTTGTGGTTTTCTTTCACTTACAGAACACTGCTCAGCTGTATGAAGAACCTGGGAAGGCGATTCTTCTCTCTGCTCCATAAATGATTGTGGCAGGGAAGGGTTTTATGGACTGGGGCCCTCCTCCAGCTATAGAATAGCTATTGACCTCAGTGAATGAATAAATATGCAGTAATTTACTAGTCTCTGATAGTAAGGACCATCTAATCATGATGGATGATAATCACACTGCTGCCAAGGTCATTTATACAACATATTTCTAGGTGGGAAGGGGTTTTGTCCTATGAGTCTGTGAGAAATGCTGTGTCACAGAAAAGCTGGCCAATAAATCTCTGCCATGCAAACATTAATTGGTGGAGCACACAAACACAGGCCTTGGTGCACAAGGTCAGGGTGGTGACAGGAGCCTCAAGTTTCTTTGGCACATGGTAATTTCCAGTGGACATGTCAAGCTGAAGTCCTGGCATCAGCATGTATTGAAGATCTCACAGCCTTTCTCAGATGGATGAGGTGTGAGTGGGTCAGTATCCCCCACAACTGGACCTACAGCTTTGTTTTTCACTCCTGGATCTCAGGGAGCCTTCCCAGTGGATTCCTCCCCTGTGGGCAAACAAGAAAGCTGCCATGTCTCTGAAAGGCTTTATCTCCTGCATTCAGACATTAACTACAGGCAACTTCATATTCTAATCTGGGCTGAAAAATTGACAGGTACTTTCTGGGAACACCAGGCTCCCATGACTTGCAGTCTTCTCAGGAAAAAAGGCAATCCCACTTTGCAATTGCAATCTTTGGTTTGGTGAGATATGCAGCATAATCCCTGATATTACCACCAAATTCCCTAAAACTCCAGCATGCTTCTAGGATGGCATCATGGTACACTGGATATATTTCTTGCTACTGCTTGTCCTTTTACACAGGTCATTCCACAAGATGGCACTGAGATATTGACTTCTCCCTTAAAAGTGTTCAGAAGAGTTCTTCTGTTGGCTGCTAAAAATGTGTGAACCTTGTAGGTTTAGGATTCTTCTGGGCATTTTTAGACATTAAAGTGATCTGCCAGTGCTCAAAGAGTGTGACAACAACAAAACCAAACACCTTTCTATAAGTCCTGCAGGGCAGAGCACCTCTGTTCTGTCAGCACACAAAACCACAACATGTGAATCTGCACCTGTCACTCTCCATTTTACAATTAGCAGAGAAAACCAGGCAGCTCCAAAGGGCAGTTAATCCCCACCTAAAATAAGCATCTGTGGCCAGACCTATGAGTCACGCTGGATGCTGACAGTTTACCTCCAGTGTCTGCACTGGGTCATGGAGTGATCAGCTCCAGTGTGCACACCCACATGGAGATATTTACTGTCAGGTGAGCTGGACTTCCCTTCCTCCCTGAATCCAGATGTGGTGATCTAGAGCGAGCGCAAACAACCATGTGAGTCAGCCAAAGGCTGGAGCACAAAGATCTGTCAGTTGCCCAACATGACCTGTTCGTACTTGCATGGTTTCACTTACCTGCAGGGCTGACAAGAATATCTGGGTTCATCAAATACAGTCCCCTACTAACATAGGTAACCACATCACATCTTTCCTTTTCTGGTCTGGCCAGTCTCCATTTTAGGGGCAAATGCTTTTTGCCCCAACTCTTGCTGGAAGCCTGTTACCAGAACTAGCTGCTCTGGAGATTAGAGAATTTCTTTTAATTTCCAGACAGATTCACAAAGCTATTTGTTCATGTGCTGGCGTTAGGTCATCAGAGTCATGAGTGAACATTTCTTACAGATGCTGTCCCATATTGTTTTCCTGTAAGTTTTGTTACCTGCTTGCACTTAGCTCTGCACTGCCTCCTGATGTTTACCTTGACTTGCTCACAGGTTGAAATTTCACTCAACTGCACATTAAGCAACCACCTGCTAAACCAAACCCATTTTCTTCCCCAAGGCAGGTGTGCTTTCAGCACTAGTAATAAAGACATCAGTTTGGGGAGGAAAATTTTGGCACAGTCAAGGCCCCCTAACTGTGTTGGTGTTGATACCCATGGTACTGAAGAGTTGGGGAACAACCCCCCTGCATTCTGTTAGAGCAGCCCTGGGACAGATGAGCTCCCAGAGGCTCCAGGGCAGTCGTGCTGCCGCAAGGAATGACTCCTCTAACTCAGTTTGACAGTGCACATGTTTTCTCTGCACCAAGGAGCTCATTTATCTCTTAATTGTGCTAGTCAACAGCTGGAACATCACCAGTCCATTAGCTTCAGCCTTCATGGTGGAACATTAACTTCTCCCCAGAGGCTGAGACAAGCCTGGGAAGACAGCACAGCAAAGGAACTCCTCATCATGGATGAGAACAGCTTGCTTCTCCCTCAGACCAAATGAACACAGCACCAAGACATCTCCAGGCCCCTTTAGGAAGCAAGACCAGGTCAGAGAGAGCACTACAGTACTGGTATGATGTCAGCTGTCCAGGACAGATGCCACTTGATGTATCCTAGAGCTTTCACACCCTGTCATCTCACATTTGATGCTCATGGTCTATCTGCTCCTCCCTTTTATGGATGACAGGCACTGAAAGAGTTGTAGACACCTCAGATATTTGTCTCTCAGAAGAGGGATTTTCTCTCCACACTGTTACACAATTCCCCATTCCCAGGATATCAGCCCCCATAGCCTTTCAGCTCACCCTGCATACCACCACCCCTTGCCCTGAAGCTGGACAAAAGCACATCACCTATACATCCTCCTTTCCAGTGAAACTGAGCTAGCTCTTACCGTGCAGAGGAGAAGTAGGAGTTGGAGGGACCAACAGAGGGATGTAGTGGCACGACGGTGGGCTCCTGCTCTGGTCTGCAGCTTTCCTCTTCTCTTCCCAGGTGCATGGAGCCTCCCTGCCCCAGATTGCTAAATCGTGCTCAGCTGGAGGTAATCCGCAAGGCCGTGTCAGCAGGAGAGGAATTACATGGCTTTTGCTGGTCATGAGGAGGAGAGCAGAGTTGTCCAGGAAAGGGTCACCTGGGGCAGCGCTCATCCCATTGTTGGGCAACAAAGGGGATAGTACCTGGGCTCCCCTGGATGGGGACATACCCATCCCACCTTGGGCCACTCTCCCCTCCTGCCCTCATCTGGCTTACCAGGCAGAATCAGGTCATTTTTATATGAAGCCAAGCGTGATGGTTTTTAAGGCACCCCACCAGCTTCAATCTGGGCAAAGCCCTGGAAAGTCTTTCACATGCACTTGTATAGGGCATTTAACAGAGAGAGAAACAGAGATGCAGGGGCATGTCAGGTCCCACAAGAGACTTGGGATACTGGTGGGATTTCCACTGAGGTTCTGCCAGCTCCTCACATACTGTCATCCCCCATTCCCTGCCCTATCCTTGACCCATGAGCATCTTGTTCTCCTGACCTGCTCAGGATAAGGCTCTCATCCTACCCCTGTGTGTGGGAACATTCCCCTGCCTGCCCTGGAACCCTGCTGCGGGCCTCCCCAAAATCCAGGTAGAGAGCAGTGGGTCCTGCAGGTGCAAATGCTCCTGCCAAGCTTTGAGCTGCTTGCTTGGGTCTGCTTTCAATCCACAGATAAGATGAAAGCCAGGGAAACCACAAGGGCTCACAGGACATCGTCACCCTGGAGATAAGAGGAGCCAGGCTTTCTCTTGGAGGAGTGTGAACACCCACGCTCTGAAAGGAAAGATTAAAGGTGGAAAGTTACAGGCTGGGGAGGAGACACTGGGAGAGCTGGATGAGGCCCTGAAGTTGCAGAGCCTGGTGGAGCCACCATGCTGATCACATTTCCCTGCCTCTGACTGTACCCTAGAGACAGCACAGCAAGGCTGTATGCTCCCCTCAGGACGTAATGAGTTTGCTCTTTCAAACAGTACCACTGACAAAACTCCTTATACTTCATTTTGTGTTGTCTCCTCTGCCCCATCCCTCCCCCAGGCACTCCATCCCGGAACAGTCTGCAGGATCTACCAGCCCAGCATCCCCCTAAGGAGCACCAAAAAGGCACGAGCCTGTGTTAACAGTCCCAAAGAGCAAAACCAGAGCAGGGGCTGATGACAGGAACACAGCCATCCCTGCTCCCTCTGCGCTGATGGAGGAAATCTGAGTCAACAAGTCCTCCTTCAAAGACACCAGATGTTTAAGAGTGGGCTGTATCCATACATGCCACTCACATAAACTATACCTGTAAACCCTTCAAGAGGTTATGCTAAACCCATAGGCGGACCATCTTCACTGCTAGCTGTGATACAGATATTTTGTGGGGTGAGGAACCAACTGGTGACACTAATCATTGTCCATATGTTATAATCAGAGAATTACCCAGACCCCAGCTGTCAGCCACATGACCGTGTTCTCCCATATCACACCTGCAATGGGGTGTCCAAAGACGGTCATCACTGGTGAGCAATGCCTTCTGCGTAGGATTTGTCCTTGCTCTCTCCACAGGGGACTGAAAGGCCAGGATGGAGGTGACTGGGTTGGCTTTCTCAGAGCTAATCCACCCCAGCTGAGAGGGCTGCTGCTGGTGCGGACGTGAAGGCATCCAAAGGAAACCCCCGATAAGCTCCCACTATCACAGCAGGGAGGAGATGCCACAGATTCCTTGCACACATGCACGAAAATCCCCTCGGATGCTACCCAGCATTTCAATGGGGGTGGAGGTTTGCTCCAGTATTGGCCAGATCCCATCATCCTCATGTTCCACCAGCCCCTTTGGCCTCTGGTGCTGTTTTGAAAGACAGGAAAGAGGGGACAGATATGGTGGATCTGGATGGTTCTCTGGTCATTCCCATCCTATCAGTTCCTAAATGAAAAGCCATTGACCCAGAATAATCCATAGAAGCTGAAAACCCATCTGTTGGTGTCACCTGAACAAGAGTCATTTTTTCTTGCTCATGTAGTTTCCCTGAATAAGTCCTGCATGGCAGAAGTGGCAGCTTCACAAATTGGCCCATATTAAGCAGAGCACTGACATGCAGTCTATTTCCCTAAGCACAGGGCACAATATGTCAATCAATACTGGCAGTGCAGATGTTCATAAGCCATGGCAAATACTAAATATTGTCAGTGGTCTTTACTGTCCCTAAGTCTGCTTTTACATAGACACACACACACACATCCATATCAGCCATTTGCTAGTGAAGAAGTAACTGTTGCTTACCTCCTCCTCAATTTTGACTTCATAGGAACTTCCTTGGTGTCAAAATATCAATTTATAATCTCATAAAATGGCAGAGGGTCAGTCCCTCACTCCCAACATGAACCAGTTAGAGCTCCCTGGAACTGTCTGAGTTTGCATTTGGACAGGACCTGATGTGATGGGCCTCTGATCACAACACAAGCTCCAGGCTCTGCCGCAAGAACAACAGATACATGGAATCACATCAGGTCTGTGAAGCTACAGATACAGATTTTTGCACCTGAAATGTTCATGTATGTGTCAAACTGCAGCTTTAGGCACAGAAAGTGCCTGGCTTGACCTCTCACCTGCAGGATCAGCCAGTCCAATTCGTAGAGTCTACTGGGAAGTATGTTGATTTGCTCATATGGCTCTGACTGCTCACCCTCACAATAAACTCAAACTGCTTTTCATATACTGCAGTATTTAGCACATCTCTAAAATTCCTTGACATAGGATGCTGCAGGTGCTAAAGAGGGATCTAAAGCTGGCTATCCAAATTCATGAAGGTAAAAATCCACCCATGGCCCTTAAACATGGTCACCCTGCTATCAGAAGTGGTCTCTGAGTTGTAAATTGTTGAATATTGTAAAATAATTCTGGGAAAATAAATTTTTTCTGTTCTGACATTCTTCTCCTGTTATACCTAGGACCTCCTCCATGGGTCCAACCCATCTCAGTGACCACTACCCAGCTGACTGTGTTGTCCAATGGAATAGGATGTCCACCACTTCAGCTTCAGGAATATAAGACTAGCAGCCTTTAGTAGTGTGCTCTTGAATTGCTTAGTTGTCCTGAGATGACATAAGAATACTTGAAATGCCTTCCGAGCTCTACTGCTCACCCGTGTGAGCCCTCAGCACCCACTCCATCTCCCTGCCCAGTTCACCAACCCAGGGGACTGACCAAGACACTGTATTCAGAAGCAGCTTGAGGTGGGAAGAGGAGGCATTTGTAACTGCTCGCATCATGATGTGTGATCTTTGATAAAACACCTGCCACAACTTAGTGCTGGAAGTGCCATCAACTTCTGGGTCATTCTAAGTCACCCATCTCCTCATTGCTCTCTCCTCCTCTCTGCAATGCTAATAGCGACCTCACCTAGAACCAGGACAGCCAAGGACAAACATGTCTCAGTTTCTACTTCACAACTGGTTAAGTCAATGGTCAGAAGAGTGAGTAGGAGTGTCCTTCACACACACAACAGGTCAAGCCATCAGAACAGCTCCCTCAGCTCACCAGAGCATTTGCTGCAATGCTTACAGCTGTGCAGCAATTCAATGGCATTTTACATACAGCAAAATCTTTATAAAAGGGAGATCTATTACACTGTGGTAGAGTCTCCCTTCTCTTTCCCCCCAGGAGCTGAAGGAAGCCACATCATATACGTCAGTTAAAAGCAGTCTAGAAACAAAAAGCACTTGAAAACTCACCATGGGGAACAATCATACCCTGCTTTAGGGCAGTAAATAGCTCACTTTGTCTTGTTCATCTCATATTTTATTGCCTCTGCTGTTTGTACAGTGCTTCATGGGAGAAAGCAAGCTAACGGAGCAGAGAGCCTGCTCACCACTCACCTGCCTCCTCCCCCACGCAGGTAACATCTCCTCTTCTGTGCTTTCTCTCCTGCACAGCTCCATGAGATGGGAGCTTTGGATGTGACACCACCACACCATGGTCACACAACATTGTCAGTGAGGGCCTGGGGGAGAAAAAGCAGCTCCAGAGCCATGGGAGCATTGTAGGACCCCCACCAGATTCCCTCCTCTGTGCCCAGGGCGAGGACTCACATCTTCATTCATCCTGGTCAGTCTGGTCCGTGGTCCACATGGTAGCTGTGGTCTGGGGAAAAGGAGTCTTGGAGCAGGGTCTCACTCCCTTGCAAATGCCATGGGGTTTGCCATGTCCCATCCAACCACACATTCCCTTATGCTGGTGGTGACTGGAAATTGAGGATGTGAGCAAAATCTTCTGAACTCATAAGACCTCTTTTAAGCCCACACCAGCAGCCACCTCAGAGGCAGGAAAGAGGAAATCTTATAACGAACAGCATTTGTTGTGTGTAGCCACAGGGTGGTATGGGGAAAGAGAGATGCCTAGCTTCATAACAAATCTTTTTGGACTTCAGCTGGACTCTCAAAGCATGTGTTTGTTCAAGAGGTTTGGATAAGTTCTGTTTAGTTGTTGTTTCTGTTGTATAATTACCCCATGTTTTTTGGACTCTGACTTGTTTGGAAGCACCACTGAAATAATCCATCACAAATGCCTCGTGCCTGTAGGCAACGACCTGATGGAAGACACCCTGCCCTGATCAGCATCTGCACAGAGCGATACCTGGGCCAGCATTGACAAAAACATGTTTTGTTCTAGGTTGTCAGCAGCAAGGAAAAAAAAATCATAATTTGCATATGTTGATTCACGCTTGCTAACAGGATAACAAGGTCAATCAACACAGAGAAACTGAGGTTAATAAATCATAATCACCTTTAAGTTCTGAGCAGACTGACCCTAATCTGTAACCCAGGGACAAAGTCTAAAGTATTCTGTCTACATGTCTATATTAGCTAACTCAATATCCATCTCTTTCTTGGAATGAAGATACATCCTTTGGTGAAAGCAGCCTCAATGCCCGTGAATTTCTCCCTGCCTGCTGATAACCCACAACCTGGGAAAAAAACACAAATTC